GATTTTAATGTATGTATTTTGATCTAGTTTAAATAAGGCTACATAATTAGTAGATATGTTCCTGTAAAGAGTTTGGTTTTGTTTTTCCTACACTGAGTCCTTTTATGTTTTATCATCTTAATACCTATAAAATACAAAACAAAGTTATCTGATTTACTTAATCAATACTCTATTAGAGGACAGTTTCATTTTCTTCAGACATTGCTATTATAAAATATGTTGCCATAAATAGAATATATGAGTTTCTAAAGATTGAGCCAAATTTCCAAATAATAAATCTAAAAAAACTACTAATTTTTTTGGGAAACCAAAACTAAATAATTCATTTGTTTAAAAACATATTCTTTGAGCACGACTTTGTGCCATGTACTGTTCTAGACACAGGAGATTCATTGGTGAAAACAGACCCAAAAAGGGCAAATATTCCAGCCCCTGTTCTGTTTCTGTGCTACCCAGGAGAGACAGAAAATGAATGATAAACATGATAAGTAAGTTATATAGTACCTAACAAAAGGATAACTGATTTGGAAACAACAGAGCAGAGTAAGAGATTAAAGGAAAAGTGTGAGCAGTCCTCTTTAAGAAGGTAAACTTTTGGCCATAGCTTGAAGGAGATAAGTGAGTTAGTCATACAGTTTCCTAAAGGAAGAGCATACCAGAATAAGGGAATAGTCTGTGGGTGCTTCCAGGTACAGAGGACAGCTGGAAGCAAGTTTGGCTACAGAGAATCAAGGGAGGAGGAGAATAGGAGGTACCTTCTATTCTCAGACAGATTATAGGTCAGACAGATTGTAAAGCCTCTTAGACAATTGTAAGGATTTGGGCCTTTTTTTCTGGGTAGCTTCTGGGGGCTTCTGAGCAGAAAAATGGTATGACTTGATTTCTATTTTCTCAAGATCACTCTGACTAGCGAGGTGAAAACAGACTATATGGAGTCAGGCTGGCAGCAAGGAGACAGAAAGCGATTGCAGGCTTCTGTGTAATACTGCCGTAAATCATTTCAAGGTTCCAGGTGCAGCAAAATTACACAACAGGGCATTAGATGAGTAAATAAATGAGACTGAAGAGGCTAAGAAACCACAAAAATGAAAGTGATGTGGTCAGTGTACATGTGTCTAACCTAAACATACACACACATAAAATTCTGGATTCTGTAAGCTAGGTATTGTCAAAGTGTGGTTCCTGGGCTGGCAACATCAGCATTATCTGTTCATTTGTTAGAAACACAAAATTGGATCCCACCCATATCTACCTGGAGTGGAGCCCAGAAAGCTGTGTTTTAACAAAAAGTTCTCGAGGTGACTCCGATGCTATATTTTGAGAACCACTACTTTAAATTAAGTTGATGAAACTAGATGGCCTGGAAGATTCTTTTCACTATTAGAATACAGTGCTTCCAAGTTCATTTCTTAACATTTATTTTCATTACAAAATTAAGTATAGTTCTTGAGAAAAAATGGTTTTTAAGACATATAGAATCATGCTAAAGAATGAAAAGGTCTTTTAAATCGCATAGAGGGATTTGATTTTTTATTTATTATACCTCACCTCTTTTGAAAAAGTTTTGATTCAAAATTATATATCTATACATACATACACACATATATGTATTTATAAATATTTGTGCAATAGGAAGCTCAAGACAAGGAAAACGGAGAAAATGTATGTGACACATCAGTTAAGGACTGTAGGTTAATAAATTTACTCTTTCAGAACGCACATTTAGATTTGAGCCTCCCAAGCTCAACACTTTTAAAGGAAGAAATGAACGTTATCCAACACAAAGAAATAAGTCTCAGACCTTAAATGATCATGGATCACGGTGAAGGTGGTCAAAGTTGCTACAAGGAGAATGTCTGGAACGCCCCAAGAACTGGATGGACAATTTGGTTTCCTAGACATTTCTGTATTTCACTCTATGATATCTTGGTGATTTGACCATTTGAAGTTACATCTTTAATAAGGACCTCAAGTCTTAACACCAAGTGGGTAGATGGTAATTGGAACTGTTACCTCATCACAGAGGTTGAAGAGCCAACCAGGTTTCGCATCAGGATGGAAAGCTGTCCCTTCCTCATGGCAAAGCTTGTGAGTTCCTCCACGAGCAGCTTTGGATCTTCTTCTGCCCTTGCGCAAAATGCCGAATACCCAGAATTTTACAGCCTACTGCATGACACAAATGGTTATGACCTGGAAAATTCTTAAGCAGGTATATCATGTCAGTATAAAGAAAGATAAAAGCCAATTGAAAGAAAAGAAAGTTGCACTCATGGCCAGAAAAAAAAGAGAGGCAAAATAATTCCAAAAATAATGGAGCCATAGTGAAACAAAAATTTTACAAACTCTGAGGACTAGAAGATCTTAAAGGATAAATAAATTGTCAGGATACACCAAAATAACCACAAAAGAAAATACAAACAATTAAACTTGCCTCTAGAATATTCCATTGTTGATATTAGCATTAATAACAATACTAAATAGAAAAAGCTTAAGAAATATAAAATTAAATATTTAATTTGTCTGGGATTCCTAAGCTAGTGACCTCTAGCATTTTTAGCATAAAGCTTCTATCATGCTGTTTGAGCTATTACTTCTTCATTTGAAAGAGGAATAACTTCCCCTAAATTACTAAAATGCTGAAATTTTATTAAGATAATTTCAAATGTAGGCTATTTTGGGGGGATCTCCAGATCCAATACACTTATTAGGTCATCAAAAAGCAAGATTTCTGGACCATCTTATCTCATCACCTTCTAAATGAAATTCACTGAGTTTAGCTAATTGCAACCATCAGAAAAAGACTTATTCAATTGAACCTTGTATGGATCTTTGCAAAATTAAATTTAAGATGTCTGTTGAGCATGTTGACTCGTGTCCTTTATACTATATCCTAAACAAACTTTCTTCCCTTCAGTTCGTTCTTGAAAAATGTTTGCTTTTTATACACAACTTTTAGGAAATGTGTTTTTTTTTTTTGTTTTTTCCTAAAATAGAACAAAATTCATGTGATCCAGTATGCTTCCACTTTTTCTTAGTTACTGGGGACATTAGAGGCGAAATTCCAGGCTTGATTGTCAAAAGTTTGCAGACCATATTCCTAGGAATCTCTACTCTTCTTTCAGAGCATCATTTCTCAAATAGCCATCCAGGTATCACTTGCACAACACTCACTTGGGGAGTGTATTAAAAATGCAGATCTCTGGGCCCCACCTCAAACCTATTTTTTTCAGAATTTCCAGAGATTGAATTCAGAAATCTACAACTTTAATAAGCAGCACAAGTGATTCTTATGCTCGCTGAAGTTCAGAATTGCTTAGAATCCAATTTTATACAGTGGTTAATCTGTAAGCCAGGGCTGCTTTTAAAAATAAGTGAGATGCAACTCTCATTAAGATATAATGCAACTTGAAGTATGTGGCCTAGATTGGAGTATGAGTTCACATGCAGGAATCACTGTGATTTCCCATGGATACTTGGAATTGAAACAAAAAACAAAAACAAAAACAAAAAAACCTACAAAAACAAAAAACAAAACAAAACAAAAAAACTCTCTCTCCTGTTTGAAGCCAAGATCATAAAATATGTTTCTCCAATCTGTAAATCAGTAATTTTTACAAGGATAGGAAAAAGAAAGATAACTCAAGCCAATCAGAATCTTATGGGATGCTTTCTCAGACTCCACTCTTCTCCTTCTCCTTATTCCCTCTTCAATATCCAGCCTGCCCCACCTCATCTCCTTCCACATCCCAGCAAAAAGCTCTCAAATGTTTTAAAAATGTATTTAAAATGATATTTTGGATATTTAACATATTCAACATTATGCTCATTGTAGCTCAGGCTGAAGGTTAAAGTATTTAAAACTTAGTTACTTGGGTCCCTATGAAGACAAGGGAAATAACATTTATTAAGCTTGTGACTGTGAAGTAGAGGGTACTAACATTTATTGAAGAATTATAAATTTATGTAAAAATCTAATGCTCAATTTCTGATGCATGGTGTGTCTGATTGGTATTATTATTAGCATTAGTGTTATTGTTACCACTTAGTGAGGCATAAGAGAGGATAGGCAGAGACCAGATCATGAAGGCACTTTCATACTTGGCTAAAGTAATTCTAAGTAACTGAGAGCCACTGACAGATTTGAACAAGGGTAGGATATGTGTTTTGGAACCATCACTCCGGTAAAAGAATAGAGAAAAAAATGATGGCTTAGGAGAGAGTTCATCTGGAGACAGATTTTATAGACCATGTATAAAACTGTAAAAGTGAGATTTAATGTTTTCTGTTATGGTAAGTGGTCAAGGGAAATTTACTGGTGAGAATTCATGACTAGTTTGGTTTATGAATATCGTATAAACGAATTGCAGCAAATATTATTTTTACCGTTAATTACTGATTATATATATTTCCATTGAAATAATTATTATTGGTTTAATTCTGCTAAGCCATTGCTATTGGTTATAGCTAAAAGGAGTATGACCTCTGGTTATTACATTTAGGTTGATATTTAGCATGCTGGCTTTGTATCTCAGCTTGTCTAAAATGTACTCTTAGAAGCTACTAAATAAGGTTTATTTGTCTTATTTTAGTAAGCCAATCAAACTGGGTTTTAGGTGAAGAGGAAAAGGAACTAGAATAATGACCTACAACACCAATGTGAACCACATGTTCCATTAGCTTACCACTTTGGTCTTTGAAGTATTTGAGTAAAAGAAGCAAGGGGAAGATGTAAGGAGTGAAGAGGAGAGAAGGAAGGAAGAGAGAAGAACAGAAGGATCCCCACCCTAGGATCCTGGCAGTGGTTGCTGGTCCCATTCTTCCTAAATCATGGTAGAGCATGCTTCTAACATGGATCAAATATCCTGCTTGAATAATCCTTGCATTGTTGACCTAGGGCTATAAAAATAAAAGGAATAAAACCCAGACCTACAGCCAGAGCACTCCTATGCCAAATATCAAAGATTATAGGCTAATTTCACCTGCATTCTCTTTCTACACAGATCATGGAGCAAGAAAGCTGAAACCAAGCCACATCAAGTTTATCAGGGATGAGACAGTCTGTCAAGGATTCATAGCATAGTGGCTTGCTGGGAAAGGATCACAGAATCTCTTCGAGGGATATTGTAAGAATAAATGAGGGGCCCAGAGCTTTTCTGAAAAAAAGGTGCTGTGACTATCTAAGGTAACTAAACAACTTCTGGGTATAAATTTGTTTTTCTGGAAAGTAAACGAAAATCTCTACTATTTAACAAGGACAGCTGTATCAGGACCAAAAGAAGGCAGATGGGTGTTTTATTCCTTCCTCTACCAGTTTGTTCTTCCAAAGCAGCAAATACATATAAGGAAACATAGTAGAGATGACCTCAGGGAAAAGAATGATGCCAAAGGCTATTGATGTAAGAAAAAGAGATTAACTCCGTTTTTTTATATATTTTTCTTTTAAGAGACATTCATCCTGTGTATCTAGTAAATTACCCTGGATTGTATTTACTTTAAATTTTATTATATTTATTTGGTAATTGGATCCATGTCTCACCGGATAGTATGGGGTAAAGGTCACCCAAATATGTGTTGAGTACTTGGTTGTGAGCTGGCTTCCAGATTGGGCAAGTTTTTGAACTGACCAAAGACTATTTATTTGTTTGGTGTATCAGCTGCAAATAACCAGAAAAACTGTCTAAAACTGTCTTAGTCGAGAAAGATGTTTATTGAACAGAACAAGCAGTGCAAGGGTTGTTTGGGCCCATGAGCTGAGTGATCCGTCAAAGGCCCAGGGGTAAATATGTCTCTGTGAACTGCCACCCTCAGTGTGTCAGCTTTGCCCTCAGATTGGCATCTCTTCTGGTTTTAACTTGGCAGAAGTAGTTCCATGTATTCTATCCCCATAAAAAAAGCATCCAGAGGACAGAGCATGCTATCTCCTCTTTGTTCTCTTTCTTAGGAGTGAAGAAACTTTTTACAAACAACCATTTGACTGAAGTCCCCTCACCTTTCATTGGCCAGAGTTAGATCATATACCTGGTCCTTAACCAAGGATTGGCAAGGGGCTTGAAGGAAGCATCTGGTATGGAATGAATATTGGGGAGTCAAACACAATTTACTTTGCAAGGATTTAATAGAAACATTAAATAGCTAATAAATACAACGATGCTGATTTGTCCTTTAAAATGTTGACTTAAATGTTGTTATTAGTTAGCAGTTGTCTCTTCAAGGTAATAATTATCTGATGAGGACAAAGTCACAGAAAACATAAATCCCTAAACACTGATTATTTCCAGGATGATTGTCTTGAAGACAGAGATAAACTCATGTTTTTTTTTTTTTTTTTTTTTNTTTTACTAAGCTATTTTTTTTTTCAGAGCCATGACATTGAGTCCAGGTACAGAAAAACAGAAATAGATCATCTTGTTAAATAGTCAGCACACGTTGGCAATCATGTGGTTAGCTGATAGAAACAGAACAATAACATAAAGAAGGTCTACATTTCATTTGTATTTGGTTATAACAGTGATACCCTTGCTGTAGAGTTACTTTCTCAATAGGTTTATTCAGACTAATAGTAATGCTGATTTCTTTAACAATACATCGAGAGCAAGAGGTACGTGACATAGAAGAAGCTTGCCTAGGCTTTTAATTTATTATTAAATAACATAGATGTGGGTTTTATATTTGTTATTAACTCATTCCTGTTTGCTTTATCTTCTATGTGGAAATAAAGATGAGGACTATGTTGCTACATTTCTTAGATTATACCACTTATTCCTGACACAGGGCTTTATGCATGGTAATTTCTTGGTAAGATAGCTGATTTATCCTAATTTCATTTCAGCAAACATCAAGAATCTTCTGATTTTGCAGGCTGAGGTACCCAGGCTTTTTTTTTCCTGAACTGGACAGATTTAAATCTTGACTCCTTGGCTTATCTAGCCTATGTATACCTATGTTTCTTGATCTTTAAAATGGAAATAATAATTGTATCAATCTCATGAAATTGTAATAGTGATTAAATGGGCTAACATGCATATATTGCATGACAGTGTCTGAGACATAGTAATCATTTAATAGAATTTTGTTTATTATTATTCAATCCTCATAGCCAGCTGGTTAAGGAGGCACATCAACCAAGTATTATTTCAAAAACTCTATTGAGATTGTAGAAAATAGTATTTAATTCTGCCTTGGAATGTGTCCAGTGGTTATCATTATAATGTGCTGAATGCTCTATGTATGCCTTTGATAAATCTTATGCTATTGGGTGCATATGCTGCCTGAGAATATATGGTAAATACCAGACAATCATTAGCCTTAAGTAAAAATTTCACCGGGAAAAATAAATATTTCTCTTCAACAGGCAGTTAATTGGTCTATCTTGTCTTTTACATTATATCCTTATTATTATAGTCTCTTGTAGATACCAAGAAAACACAGCATCCCTCCTCAGTAATGGACCCAGTCCTTCCCCGCAACTCACACTCTCCTTCTCAAAGACATGAAAATACATTACAGATTTTTTTAATATTGTCTCAAGTTGTGTGACATAGAGCAACTTTTCATCCATGAAGATGGCAAATTTACAGCCTTATGACACAATCTTGTTTCCATGGAAACAGACCAGAACTAATCGATTTTGTCTGCAACATAATCATAAAAATCCCGACAGAGAAAGGGAGAGAGACACTACTGATACTACAGGTTATGGACCAATACAATTTGCCAAATTGTCTGCTATTCTGGAAAATTAGGCAAGCTAAGTGCCCATAGACCATGATTAACGGACAAAATAAAATTTTCCTTAGAAACACCACAGCATATCTTAGATGTTTATCATGCTATTTTTCTAGATTCTCTTTCATTAGCAAATATTAGTTTTATACTCATTGAATTGTTAGCTTCAATACTTTTATAAGGTTATGTTAGCATCATAGTACACTGATAGGTGAGGGTGGAAAACTGAAATGAACTATACAAATATATTTTTCTGTTGTTATTTATGTACAGCTTAGATCTTTTAGAGCAAATCATATAATAGTAAGAGTCAAGGCAAATATGTCAATTATAATAGAAAAAGTCATGATTTCTGCTTGATTGTAGACATTTCCAAGGCGATTACGTAGCTTGTTTGGTACTATTCTTCATTTATTTTACAGGCAGAGAGTTGGACTAATTGTTAAATCCCAAGTATGTCTTTTAATTAGCATTTTGGAATTTCCCCTTTGGCATCTAGGTAATTGTTCTCACTTCATTGTCTATCATCCTCTATGCTCCCTTTACTTAAATATTGGTAGTTGTGTGAGTCTTGCTTCTTCACTCATCATCCTTTCACTTTTCTTCCCTAGGCAATGCCATACATAATCTTATCTTCAGATTCAACCTTTTTTTTGACAAGATCTTGTTTTGTAGCCTAGGCTGGAGTGCAGTGGCAAGATCATAACTCACTGCAGCCTCGAATTCCTGGGCTCAAGCAATCCTCTTGCCCCAGCCTCTCAAGTGCTCAGATTAGAGTCATGAGCCATCATGCCCAGACTCAACCAGTAACTTCTTATCAACTTCACCCCAGCCCAGACAGCTCTCTGAGTCTCAGATCTAGATTTCAATTGTATACCCAGATGTCTCACAGTTGTCTCAGGCTGAACAGGTCCCAAACAGAATTTATTATCATGCCTTATAAATCTCCATTTCTCTGTTGGGTTAGTGTCAGTTTGTGACCTAAGCTGGAAACCTGGAAGTGAGCTTAATCCTATAACGTTTATTCACTCCTCCTATCAAGTCAGTCACAAAATCTCATTATTTTTCTCTCTCTTATACTTGTGCATTGAATACACTCTTCTGGCCATGATTTTTCTCCCTAACTTATTGATGGCCTATTACTAATATATTTCAGGCACTGTGATCACCCTTTAGGTGGCATTTTCTCATTTAAATTTTATATTACCTCTATAAAGTATGAGCTATGATTATCTCCATTGTACAGCTAGGGAAATTATAAAGAATAAAAAAGCTTCAGGAACACAGTGGAGTCAAGCTTGAATCCAGTTGTGATTGCCAAGTTCATGCCTTTGGTATAGTTAGATCCTTTTCTTCTCTTCTTTAGACGATTGAGTGGTGTCTAAGTGCTTTCTTCTAGGACAGTTATTCTCAAAGTGTAGATTTTAGACAACTGGGGATTCCTGGGCCCTTTGTGTGAGAGTTTGAGTTCTAAACTACTTTCATAATTATGCCATAATGGCATTTGTCTTTTTTCACTATTTTGCCACTTGCACTGATAGAGCATTAGTCATGTAGAAAAACTGCTAATGCTTTAGCAGTAAGCAATGCAGTAGCATCAAACTATAGATGGAGTCCGTGTTTTCTTCATTGTTCCACACTCTCAGTAAGAAAAATAATGCCAGTTCACATAATAAATATCTGATGAAACAGTAAATATTAATTTTGTTTAAGCTCAGCCTTAAAAAATACATATTTTTAACATTCTGCATGATGAAATTGGAGAAATATATAAAGTATTTGACTGCATACTGAAGTGCCATAGTTGTCTCTAAGAAAAGCACTTGGGTGATTGAGTCAGGAGCTGAATAACCCTCTTTTCTTTTTTTCATGGAACACCATTTTCACCTGAAAGGATAACTGACAAACTATGGTTATTCAGACTTGAGTGTTTGGCACACATTTTCTCAAAAATGAACAAAGGGAAAGCCTGTCACTTCAGGGAAAGCCTGTCACTTCAGGAAAAGCAAATGGAAGCATTTGTTGTCAATGTTTAAACTGGAGATTTGAAGAAGAAATTGGAATTTGGGGAAACTTTTACCTGCCACTGGAAGCTTGACAGCCTACCCATACATTACAGCTTTCCTCATGACATCAGTGGAGATATTAACAAATGTGATTTTTGGATATTATAGAATGAAATTTGTCAAAATTTGGAAGAACTGCATAACAATGTGCCATTTTCCAAATAATCCATGCATGATGATACAAAGTCATGCATGATTAGTTAAAAGATCCTTTCAAAGGACAAGATAAATCAAAAGTTCATTGATATGGTTTTGATCTTACACAAACTAATTTGATAAACTATAATTTGTAGAGTTTTGATATGATATTAAAAAAGGATATTCACAGTTACATGGAAAGACAATTAAAACACTCTTTTTTTCTAGCCACATGTATGTGTGAGAATTTTCTTCATGTATTTCAATAAAACAACACATTCCATCAGATTAAACACTGAAGCAGTTATGAAAATCTAGCTGTATTCTCTTAAGCAACATAAAGATATTTGACTAAGCGTGAAACAAATTCATTCTCCTATTAAATTTTTTCTGTTTTGAATAACATAGTTGTTTTCGTCAATCATCTGTTGTCTGTATAAACATACAAGTGCTTATTATTAATTAATAAGAATTTTTACATTTTTTATTTTGATTTTTGATAAGGTAAGTATGGATAGCTAAGTCCCCTTATAGGCAAAAGCTCTTTGGGTTCACGAATGATTTTAAGATTGTAAAGGGATCCTGAAATCACAAAATTTGAAAACCATTGCTCTAGAATCACTCTCTGCCTGTCTACCCTTCATACTACCACCATCTTTCCAATCTTCTCATTGACCATAGCACTCCTCATCCATGGCGTACCTTTGTGTGGAATGCAGGGTCCTTGGTGATCTATCCTGCCTAACTTTCCAGTTTTGTGTCATACCACTCCCATCTGTGCAGGGTGATCTCCACCCCTAAAGAATTTCATGTTCTTGCTCCCAAACTCTCCAGCTCTTTCTTGTCTCTGCATCTGCACACATGCTGCCCCCCATCCATGCCTGCTCAATGTGTCTCTACTAATGTGTCTTCCTACCCACCCCTTCCCAACCACCACCACCACCACAAGACCCCAGTCAAATTCCAGCTAACCTGCAAAACCTACTCCAATGTCACTTCCTCAGAGACTTCCCCAAACCATACCTCTCCTTCCCTCCCCTTGGAAGAATAAATTGATACTTTCAATGAACCTTAGACAATAACCAGCTGTATATAACTGTATTATAATTATTTGTATAAAAATCTGCCTCCCACATTGGACTGTCAGCCCCCAGGGAAGTGACCATAGGTTCCTGGTTCAAGCAGAGTACTGATTCATAGAACCCTCCATAAATATTTCCCAAATAAATGATTTTGAGATCCCTTCCAGATTTGGAATATTGCAATTTACTCCTAAAATAGGATATATTGAACCATAATCTTTTCACTGATTAACAAAAAGATATATTTGCTTTACTCACACAAATTCACCCACAGCCTTTTTGGTTTTCAAAGAGATCATGTCCTAAGATTTTTTTCACATCTTTTATGGTCTTACAAAGATAGCTCTGGAGAAAATGTGATATATTAAATTTTATGTATTTTAATAAATTATAATGTGCATATATTCATTAATAATACATATTCCACACCAATGCATCAGTAAGGATTAATTTTTAAAGGCTTCTCTAATATGAATATAAAATTATGTAAGAACTCTGTATTATAAGCTCACAGAGAAGAAGAAAGAATGGGGAAAAAGTAAAAGGGAACTGCCAAAGAACTATGAGGGGTTTCTAAACAGCAAAATTGTCAGTGAAGACATGAGAAACTCTTTTCACCAAATTCTTTAATTTCTCAGCCTACCCAAATATTGGACAAAACCTAATTCCCTTGCAGGGGAAAAGCTGAGAGTCTGGAACTAGCCTGTCTCCTGAGGAATTAGAGACGGTAGTATGGGAACTTCAAGAAGACGTTTTTACTTTATTTTGGCCAAGATTCAAATTATTTATTCCAGCCCTTGATAAGTAACTAAGAAGGTAAAGGATTATTTATTTGTGAAAAGTTTTTCATGATTTTTTGATGGCACCTTGTTCCATGTCATCTCAGAAAAATCAGAATAATTTGTGAAAGTTATTCAGTGATTTCCACATTAGATACTTTAAACCTAATTTTATTTCTAAAACAAAAACCAACCAGGAGACTCCAATTCAGTAAAACATGTGTATTCATATAAATTAGCTATTCCCATCTGGAAAAGGGCTGCCATCTCTACGTGGGGGTACCTCGATGATACCGAGGCTGAGATAGGTTAGATAATACAGGCATACTATTAGTGGCAAACTCAATACTAACCCAGATCTCCCATTCCAATTGCAGTGTGTTTTTCATTCATTGCCAATAAAGATGATCAAAATTAGTTCAAAATCAAATCCTCAAATCAAGCTTTTTTTGATTTTGTTTTTCTCGTCTAAGAAAGCAACCATGCTTCATAGAATTTCCTTAAGACTTGTTTGTCATGCTGTTTCATCTTCATTCAGCACTTGGGAAGAACCACAGCCATTCAGTTCATGACAGGTGATATGAGACAGACGGATTACACATCTTTGGGTACTTAAGCCTTGCAGAAAATGCTCAAAGTCTTTCTGTACTCAAAAGCATAAAAACTGTGATTATTCCACACAGCCTAGAGTTGGGTTGATGATGTGGCCATCAAAATTGACATTAAGATGGCTAAAACATTCATTTTATTTTGTGCTGCCTTCCATAAATTTAGAAGACACAAAATAAATGATCAATTGACTTTTGAGTAAAATGGAATTTTTCTCAAACGTTTCTATTCATGTACCATACCACTTGATGGAGAAAAAGATGTGCGCTGCATAACTATGAAACAGAAGTTCTGTTCAAAATTAGGGAAAAATGATATAACTTTTGACAGGCTTGCTATTTTATTTTATAACTTATTTAGAATACACCTTTATAGTAGTAAAAAAAATAATGACAATGCTATATTGTAAATACTCATTCAAAGAAAACACACATCTATTAAAAACACTTTTTGGGCCCGGTGCATTGGCTCACCCCTGTAATCCTAGTACTTTGGGAGGCTGAGGTGGGAGGGTGCCTTAAACCGAGGAGTTTGAGATCAGCCTGGGGCAAAATGGCAACTGATACCCCGTCTCAACAAAGGATACAAAAATGAGCCAGACAGTGGGCACTTGTAGTCCTAGCTACTCAGGACTCTGAGGTAGGAGGTTTACCTGAGCCCGGGGGGTCTAGGCTGCAGTGAGCCATGATTGTGCCACTGCACTCCAGCCTGGGTGACAGAGTGAGACCTTGTCTCAAAAAAATAGCAATAATAGAATAATATAATAAGTAATTAAGAAACACTTTTTTGTCATTGGAACAGATCAGGGAACTAGTAATTAAGATATAAACTAAAACACACATACACATGATAGCTTATATTTTTTTTTCTCATGTTATTAAAAGATCCAGAGCTTCTGATTGTAAGCTCAAGCATATGTAGTGAGCTGCCAAGAATTAGAGGGCCATTTAGGGATAAACTACTATGGAGACTAGAATAAATGTTGGGGCAGAGGGGAATGGTGGGAATGGGGGAAACGTCACAGATGACTTTGATCATTACTTTGGTGCCATAGTTGTAGATTCTTTTAGAAGATGACTTATATACTTATTTTATATGGTGTTGTCATTGTTTCTATATTTTATCTTGATTTTTTAAATGTGATTTTTGGCATAATGCAAAATAAAATAGCTCATGTTTCAAAATGTATGTAGCTGATTTCTTGTGGTTTCGATAGTTGTATTATATGTCCTGCAGATAGAATTTTGTTCCCTTCCCTGAGAATGGAGCGGAGTCATTCCATCTGTCTGCCTTCCCTTGTTTCTCAGCCAGGTGATCGGCATGTGTGAGTGGGCCCCTATACGCTGCACTTCTCAGTTCATCCCTTTAACTCTGTGGTCACAGTTGTGGTTCTAACACAGCAAGAACCTGTTTAAAGAGTGGTTTGAATTGTAAGGATGCTTGAAACCATAAAAGAAGGAAAATGGGCTAGGGAAACTGAAGATAAATTAATTATTATAGTTTACAATAATACAGTGCTTACTAATGCCAAAATCTATTCTAGACACAACATAATTAACTCATTTATTTCTTATGATAACCCAGGAGGTCGGTTTCCCTACTACCCTTATTTTATAGATGAACCCAAGCAATGAGGGGTTACTTTGTCCATGATCACACAGCTCATAAGCGGCAGAGCCAGGGTTTAGAACAGACAGATTCTACCACCTGAGTCCATGCTTTTAACCACTATACTAAATGGAAGATTCAGGAAAAATGTTAAAATTATCTTGGAATAATTGAAGGGCAACAGATTGAAATATGAAGTAAACATATTCTCCATAGCCTCAGAAGGAAACAGAGTCTGGCTTAATAAAAGAAAGAAAATACTAAAGATAGGTAGATGTTTCTGGAGGCAGTGGCTTCCATGTCCCTGCTGTTTGGTGATCAGATCTTTTCTGAAGCAGCAGTTGTTAATGATGCTGACAAACACAGCAGTGGTTGGGTTTGGCAAAACTTCATTTTCTATCTTCATTTGTATGAGTCAGGGATGTATCACAATAATTGTATTCTTGCCAGTACTTCTTTATTTGGGGAGTTACAAAGTTATGAAAAGGCGAGGGGTGGGATGCAGAATAATTAAGCGATTTCATTAACAAACTTTACTGGCATTACTCTTTTGCTGAAAGTATACTATATTTTGACTTAAAAGTCTCAAAACAGAATTTTTTTAATGCTTTTAAAAATTGACAATATTATATATATTCTTGAGGTACAACATGATGTTTATATATTATACATATGTCCTGTACATTGTAGAATGGCTAAATCAAGCTAATTAATATTAAGAACAGATTTTTGATAGATTTATAAACTTGGCTTTTTCAGAATTAGGTTGAATAATAATGTTTTCAAGTTCAAATGTGTGGTGCAGTACTAAAAGCAGGACTTAACGTTTATAGCTTTAAAAATTACTAAAAAACATTAAATGACATTTTGATTGATTTTCTTATTCCCAATCACTTGTTTTCCTAGCTCTCATGCAATTTTTATTTTATTGCAGGCAATTCATATGCAAGAAGCTACACGAAATTAATTGTGCAGGATGAAAAGATGGCACAGGCACTGTTGGTACCCCCGGGACCTGAAAGCTTCCGCCTTTTTACTAGAGAATCTCTTGCTGCTATCGAAAAACGAGCTGCAGAAGAGAAAGCTCAGAAGCCCAAAAAGGAACAAGATAATGATGATGAGAACAAACCAAAGCCAAATAGTGACTTGGAAGCTGGAAAGAACCTTCCATTTATTTATGGAGACATTCCTCCAGAGATGGTATCAGAGCCCCTGGAGGACCTGGATCCCTACTATATCAATAAGAAAGTGAGTATTGGTTTTATACATCCAATAAATCTTTAATTAAACTTCTAACTATATTATAATTTTCTGGTTTTGGTTATTGTAACCAATATTTTGGTTACAGTGAGGAAATATGAATAATGACTTCTACAATTTCACAGTAATTCAAAGAGTCAATATTAAAATTGACATCAACAAAGTAAAATATCCATTATGGCTGGCAAATTCAAGCACAGGATAGTCAACAGAATAATACCTATGCAGAAAAAGAATTATGGGCATATATTGTACTTATTATTTTTTAGTTCATAATTGACTTGAGGTTTCTTCACAGTAATTTGTCTTCTAGAAGACGATAAATAAACTTCTGCTTAGCATCCTCCTATAGGCAGACAATACATAAGGAAGCATGTTTACCCAGAGATTCCTTTTTCCCCCAACTAACCTAGAATATAATTAGGAGTGTCTCTTAACCTTATATAGTTTGGGACATGCTGATTCTGGATCCCCTATACTATTAAAACATCACCCTGAAGAAAAAAATGTCAAAATTGGAAGACCAAAAAAAAAAAAAGAACTTACAAATTTTCTCCATCTATACCTGATTTAATTTAATAGTTATTACTGTGCTTTCCTAATGCTAAAATAAATGCATAATTCTATTATAATTAGCAGGCTTCTATAGTTAAGCTAGCTGAGTAGTATTTTACAGAAAAATATAAAAAATAGGTGGTATACTCTATGCCTTCTAACTGGATATTAAGGAATTTTATAACCATGATTTATATTTTACATTCACAAGCAGGAAAATAGTTCAATGTAGAAACTAAAGATAAATTAATATCACCATGAGTTTATGGATGGTAGGTTATGGAAGATATTGAACACCTTTATTAGTCAAAGCACACCCTTTTAAAAGCAGTGGCTGAATAAATTTCATTCTTTAAGCACTACATAATTTAACTTCATAAAATCAGTGATGGCTAAAGGAAATGACAGCTATTCAGACATGGAGTTAGTCCTGTTGCTCTAAAGAAGTACTTCTCAAACTTGCGCATACATACAGATCACTTAAGATCTTTTAAATTGCAGATTCTGAATCCATAGGTCCGGGGTAGAGCCAGAGATCCTGAATTTCTTACAAACCATCACACTGGTACATGGCCACACTTTGAGCAGAAAGCTTAATGTTTTATTTAAAGTCATCAGAGCAAATTTTAATAGTTAAACAGATTCTTCTTTTTCCCTTTTTATAGTTAGTTTCATAAAAGGTGGCATTTAACACATTCATGTACTTCTAAAAATAACTTATTTCAACAATTTACTATAGGATTAAAGAAAAATTTGAAATTTAGTTGTGATGATGACAATTAAGTCATCCCCCAAGAAACTGGAAATAATATTCTCCCTTAAAAACTGTTGCTCTGAAGGTTATATTTGTAAAGATATTTTTAAGAGAGGAGGCGTGATTTACTCTGCTATGATTGTTAAGTATTTGCTACTTAAAGAAAGGAAATGTCCTCAAAATGGGAGTCTATCAGTCTGGTAGGATTAAGGGAGAAACGGAGAATAATAGAGGCAAACCTTTTTTTTTTTTTTTTTTTTCCAAGGGAGACAAAACTTTAGTAGTAGTACCGAAAGCATTTTCTTCCCAATGGCCAGGGCACCTCATTGTGGAGGGGCTACACTGAACTACCTAACACATGCTCTTAAACATTCCACATCATTTAATTAAGTCAGCTGGCTTGGGCTCCACATTCAGCAAGAAACCTTGTGATTACACTTGGTTTCTCCTAAATATGCTTGAAGAAAAGAATGTACTGGTTACATTATTGCAATTATCTCAGTCCATATGAAAGTAATGCATCTCTTTGTATATAAATAAATAGATTGGAGGCCAGGCATGATGGCCCACACCTGTAATCCTTGGGCAATGAAAAGCCAAGACAGGAAGATTACTTGAGGTCAGGAATTTGGGGCTGCAGTGAGCTGTGATTGTGCTGCTGCACTTTAGCCTGGGTGACAGATCAAGATCCTGTCTCTAAATAAATAAATAGATTGGCATTCTTATTTTATATGCCAGGTTTTAAAGTTTGGTTAATGTGAGTCTGCCACTAAAAAACAGAATTGCCCTCTGTTAATGACAAAGTCAATTTTTATTGCCTCCATGGCTGAGAGGTAGACTTGGACACTGATTTATTCATAGTGGCTGTGAACCATTTTGTGAGGCATCTAGACATTCTTTACTGTTGGCTGCACTGCTTTCATTTATGAAATATCCGTAAAGATGAAGATTGAAGTGCTGTTAAAGAGGTAATTTGTCATTCTTAGCATAGAAGGAGTCATGTAAGAAGCTAATGGAAGAAGTTTTGGGATTTAAAAACATGTTATGAAGCTATATTAGCTATATGGAAAAATACAGGTAAAAGGCATTTAAAAATTTTAAAGCTTACGTAACTCTGTCACTATTAGTGATACATTTTAAATACCTAATTTAATTAAATGTGTAACATTACAATGTATTTTAATGGCATTTAATTTGACCAGGGTACTATTAACTGTAGTGACAGTGATAATCATAGCTAACTTTTCTTGTGCTCATACTGTGTCAAACGCTGCTGAGTGCTTTAACTCATTTGCTATTTACTGAACCAGTGAAGCGGGTCCTATTGTTAGCTTCAGTTTGCAAATGGGAAAGTGAAGCACAGAGAGGTGAAGTAACATGCTCAAGGCCACACTCAAGCGGTGAATCCAGGATCTGAGCCCAAGCATTCGGCTCCAGAGTCAGAGCTCTTAAACACTAAGTGAAATTATATACTGTGCTTATTAATGTAATAAAATAAAAGAGAATGTTTAAAAATGGTTGCGTCATTTTTTGAGTTCTCTGATGTGGTCCTAATCACTGAGATGCAAATCTTATTCTTGCCACAAAGTAGTAAAACTTTTAGTAAACTTACAAGATGTGCATTTGCCTGGGAAAAAGAAGCAAATAACATTCCAGAGTACAAAATAGCTAGTTTAACATACTTCCAGCTGTAGCATTTATAATGCCAATAGCGATATGTAGTATTAACTTTTTAAGTCACATCATTACTTATCATTACTTGGAAACCTAACTTTAAAATTGCTATGATTTATCCCTCCTCCGTTCATTTGTCATTTTCTCAGGTAATTTTCAGTTTAGGTATATCTCTTCATAATATCAGAGCCCCATAATTTCAATTTTTTTTCTTGCAGTTCTTTCACTAAATAGGATAGTAGTATTTTTTTCCACATTTCTCAGAACTCAGGTTTCTCTTTGTATCAGGTGGTGGTCCCAAAAAATAAACTGGGATTGTGGTTTTAAGGCCTGCTCTGTTTTGGAACTTACAAATTCAACGAAGATGCTATTAGCATACCAGCTTTAATTCCACTAGTACCACAAAGGCTAATCTTGTAGGGGGTGTAAAGGGTTCCATGATCAAAGGGATAATTTATTGCTGTTCACTCTGCTTTTGGAGATAGTTTAAAATGAAACTTTCTCCTAATGTTGCAAGTAGAAACTGCTTTTTCAGGGAAACTGTTTCAAAAGAGCATGAGATCATCCTCCTTAAATTATGGTGAACGTTTTCAAGTTAATGCTGTTGTTGAATGCCTAAATGGATCTTGATTGTTCAACTGTAATATTAAATAATCTTATCCCGTGACTCCAAGGCAACCCTTTAATGCTTCTGTGCTTCAAGAGCAGCTTTTGCATGGTCTACTGTCCCTTACACTTAACCTTACTGCTGGTAAAGAGTAGTTTGCTTGTTCTCTTCATAAAATTGTTCACTTTTATAGAGAGCAGTTTCTGGAAATTGGATAGTTAAGTAATAGTTGGCTCTATGGTCTTAAATACAAAAGGGCAATGAATAGAGCAACTGTAGTTTCTGAAAAATGGTTAAATAATGGTTAGCTCTGTGGACTTAAATACAAAGGAATAATAAACAGAAAAACTGTACAGTTTCTGGATAATGGTTAGTTAAATAATGGTTGGAACCATGGTCTTAAATACAAAAGGGCAATGAACAGAGAAATTGTTTTTCCTGTCCTTTATACTGATAATATAAATATTTTTGTCTACCTATTCAAACAAAGTACATTGTCAGTGAACATAAATGTATGGGATATAACCCCTAGTTAAAGGAGAGAAACATATTATTAAGTAAATAAGTATACAGAATAGATATCTTAAAGGTAAATAGTATCTTTAAGGTAAACCCACATTTAATTCAAAACAAGTGTTTATTTGCAAACCAGGCTATTAAATACTGTGAAAAAAGCGGAGAAAAAGTAGATTACAGGCTCTTTATGTTCAATGATTTATAACAATTCCTAACCTAGTTCTCACTGGAATGAACAGTATGTGTAAATTGCCACTTGACTATAATTACAAGCAACATGTAAAAGAGTGCAAATTAATATACTTAGACTCACTGATAAAGAGAAACAATTAGGGAATGATCAAGGGATAGTGTGATTTGGAAAGACATGATGAAGGAGGTGATTGATAGCAGAGAAAATTCCCAGAGAGAAGGGATTTTCAACCTTGATTGCATATTATAATCATCTCCGGAAATTTTTGTTTTATTTATTATACTTTAAGTTCAGGGGTACATGTGTAGAATGTGCAGGTTTGTTACACAGGTGTGCATGTGCCATGGTTGTTTGCTGAATCCATCACCCTGTCATCTATATTAGGTACTCAAGTCTGTGCCATCCCTAAGAAATTTTCATTCAATTGTCAATTTTAAAATCTCTACAGGACAGCCTAGTATTCAGGCAAGATTAAGAATCTCTGACATAATAGGGGGTCATTGTAGGTGGAACTATATTGTAAGGTCTGTTATGGAGACATTTCCCTGATATGAAGAAAGTTTGCAATAAATGACGTTTTAGATGTCACCTAGGAATCTATGACACTCATATTCAGAGTCATAAGGGGAGATTGTCTGGTTGTGAGTGAGATTGATAAGTGGGTTGAATTGGCCATAGCAAAGATGGCTCTAGTGGGAAAAAATAAAAGATGATTCTACAGGAAGAGGGTAATCAGCTGTAGCACAGCCAATGCTAAGTAGATGATTGTAGGTTTCAGATAATAGAATTTTAGTTGTGGAATGTCCTTCATTCCACAATGATTTATTTCAGACTAAGCTTCAATGCATCCATCCCTCCCCAGTATTAGCTAAGAAGCTGATCCCTTCACACATCTATAGAATATGCAAAACCAGGTTATTCAACCTGTTTGAACATTTTGAATCTACAGGGACAATCAGGAGCCATCATAAACTTTGAAGTTAAAAGATTTATGTAATTAAAATATTTATAAAAGATTATTTTAGTAGCAATGTGTACAGAGTAATCTGAAAAGTTACCAAAGCTGAAAACAGATGGTAAGCTTTAAATAGAATTGGAATCTGTAAAGCTACATTACAATTCGGTAAAAAATTTGTGTAGAATTGTCAGTTTGTATCAGCAAGCTGGAACTGTAGAGACAGATTAGGTAATAGTAAATAGTATCTTTATTTGTAACTATATGTTAATTAAAACATCTAATGTTTGTAGTTATGATATATCAACTGGTTTAAACAAACAAGTTTGAAGAAACAAATTCTGTTTTTTAAAAAGTTCTTTATGTATGTAAGCTCTTTAAATAATCCACAGGTTTAGTAATTTTTTTCTCGTATTTTCTTTTTCAGACTTTTATAGTAATGAATAAAGGAAAGGCAATTTTCCGATTCAGTGCCACCTCTGCCTTGTATATTTTAACTCCACTAAACCCTGTTAGGAAAATTGCTATCAAGATTTTGGTACATTCATATCCTTTTCATGTGAATTGCCTAAATGCTATTTCTAACATTTAATTTTAAAGAAAATGTCATTTATATTTTCAAGTATTCATAAACTTTCTTTGAGATTAATGGTAACATTGTTAGTTTAATTCATTTGTTTGCATTAGTTTTCTACTGCTTATAACATGAATATTATAGAATGGCTATAGTATTATAGACGAAAATTTGCAACCAACCATGATAATGAATGTGTAAATGAAATATATTGTATAGTAGGAAAAAGAGCAAATCTCCTCACACGTTTATCAACCTCAGTGAAATCATGTATAGCCATTGCTAAAGATTAGATTATGGTTAATATTACTATTTGTATTACCAAGTGTTCAAACTTTTATGCCTTAATTGATTCTTTATCTTCAGCACCTGGATCTATCCTTGTGTCCTTCCTTCATTCTTCCTTTTTCCCTTCCTTCTTATTTCTTTGTTTTTTTATTTTTTTCAGTAAATATTTATTAAACTCATACTATGTGCTCATGTACCTGGTTAAGAATATATATCAAAAAGTCGAACTTAAAACTATTTACAATGTTAGTCAAAAAGTATATGTAAAAGTGCAGGATAGGTGTGGATTTCAAGAAAATTCTCAAGTAATGATAAAATAGAATGGTGATTTTCTGAGGCAGTGTTCAAGCTTGGGCATTTTGTATAGGCAGATTGGAAACAGGCTTCTGTATAAATTTAAAGACTGATTCACCTAGAGACAGGGAAAATGAGACTGATAACCTTTTGAGGTACGAATTCTCTCATTCTGTGGCTTGATGTTGGAAACTATTTATATTTGAAAATAAAAGATTTATCTCAAAATAATCATAAACTTTCTTACAGGGAAGTCTGGGTTGGGTTCCCAAGAGAACTTGCTATAGCAAATTCTCAGAAGAGCATCAGAATAGTGCTACCTGCTTAGGTATAATGTGGACTAGATGCAGGCATATAGCCAGATGGCCTTTTGGGGTTCCCCACAATCTAAAGTGTAAGTAAAAAGCTAGAAAATAACATTACCTTATCAGCACAAAATTGGATCTCCCTCTTTTATGCTATAAACTGTAAAAGAATGAGTTACTCACTAAAAACCTACTACTTATGGTAGAATTCTCAATGTAATCTTTGAATATGTTGGGCTATACATGCTCACATTTTTAATATTTCATTTATTAACGTTTTATAAGTCAGTGGAGAAGGAACCATCTGAAGCTCACCTTTTACACTTATGGCATACTATAAAATTACTAAGGGATGATGAGTTCCTCTTCCAGGATAATTTCACACAACTGATTGGAATGCAAAATAATTTGCATTTTCTTCAAATAGAGATCATTTTTCTATTAAATTCAGCTTTGTGAGTGTATAATATAAAATGAAAAAAGATTACACCAAGGCCATATCACAGGCTTTGAATTTTCTTATTATCATTGATTTAAAAGAAATAAATAATATGAATTTCACTGTTAGCATTCATCGATGAAGTTTTTTTGTATTTGGATCAGTTATAAATGGCCATGGTAATGTACTAACATTTATTCCTTAACTATAATCTACTTTATTCAGCATGCTTATCATGTGCACTATTTTGACCAACTGTGTATTTATGACCTTGAGTAACCCTCCTGACTGGACAAAGAATGTAGAGTAAGTAGGAATAACTTCTTGGAATGAAAAATGCATACTCAAATTCTCTAGCATTTCAGAATTCTCTATCTCCTTATGGCTATAGTCTGACTTATGGTTTCCACTTCTGTCTAACAAAAAGTTATTTCCATAAAATGAAAGAAGATAAAGGAAGTTCTTTGGGGGAGTTTTTCTTCTATGAGGTAAGTATTTTTCCAACGAACTCATGTTAGTATCTGTTTAAGAGAGATTATAAATTAGTATACACTTTCTGGTAAACTAAACCAATCATCAGCCTAAAATTAAGTCTCAATCACAGTTAATCATTTGAGATAAAATACAATGATCATTCGAGTAATTTGATGAATTAAATTATTTTATCCTAGTATGTTGTCATTATTGTTATATTCAAATAGAACAGATTTGGGGTTTTAGCTTTAAATTAAGTAGGTGTCTCAATTATTCATTCAAGATGTCTAAGTTATATTTAGGTATGTAGGTTATTTATGCAAAACATGTGTGCTGAAACAGCTTAGATATGTTCTGTAAAAGAAATAAAATGTCCTTTGTAAAACTGTGTTCATAAAATAACAGGGCTTAAGGGGAAACATAATTAGATGGAGACTAAACTTATGGAACTCTGTAACTAGAATACAACATGAAAACAACAGTAATCTCAATAAAAAGACACTTGCCCAGTTGAGTCTCTTCTGATATTTATATCTAAAATCATAGCCATTGAGTTCTTTGTAGCCTCAGATCCTGGGCCTCATCATTTCTTCCTTGAAATGGATACTGGGGATAGTCATATGATATCATCAAAGTAAAATGCTTCATTCTGTATTTTAATACATGGAGAAAGGTCTAAGCACATTAGTTGTTCAGGATGTTAAACTGTGCCCCCGTGTTGCACTAAAAGAAAACCTTCTGTGGATTTTCTGTATTAGTATCAATATCTTTTTATTATTGTTTTTGGAAGGGATTTTTCCATTTAGGTATGAGAAAAAAAAATGCCCTTCATTGTTTCAAAACTTCAATATGCTGGGGAAAATTGGACATGAACTAACACAATTTCTGCATCATAACCATATTATTTTGTTTTCTTGTCAGTCACATATGAGGTTATTTGCATCAAAGAAACATACTTTTTAGTGAAACAGAAAGTGGTTAGATTATATAGGCTATTATATATAGCATACTATAATGATCAGATATTTGACTGATTAAGTAAAAAAATGTAATATACTTTTTTATTGTTATATTTGTAATAGTAATGTACAATAGGAATTAAGATAGTGTAGCAAATACTGCCACTTTAGTTCTGTTTTTGTAGATTTATCTGATAATTAACTGTACCACTCTAAGCCATTATTTGTCAGTAATTTAACGTATTTGTTATTCTTTAAAAAAAAAAATAGTAGCTTGAAAATGCTTCCTAGAAATCACTGTAGTAGAAAATCCAGCTCTCACACTGAAGAAGGTCATTTAACTTAGAACTCTCATTTACTATACACGATTTTGGAGTTAACAAAACGGACATTCCTATATAAGACTATTCTGTATGTGCTTTTCCCAACAGAAATTATTGAAACATTTAAACATGTATCAATTTTACTTATTTGTATAACATTATTCAAAGATAATTAAAGCAGGCAATTGGAGCTTGTGACTAACCTGGCCAACATTGTGAAACCGCAGGTCTACTGAAAATACAAAAAATTCGCAGGGCATGGTGGCACGTGCGTGTGGTCCCAGCTACTTGGGAAGCTTATGCAGGAGAGTCGCTTGAACCCAGGAGGTGGAGGTTGCAGTGATCTCAGATCGCAGCACTGCAATCCAGCCTGGGAGAAAGAGCAAGACTGTCTTGAAAAAAAAAAAAAAAGACAATTAAATATGTAGACCTCTCTTTCTAAAAAAAGAGTATTAACTTAGAGATGATTATACCTGTTATGAAGGCAGTCTTAGCTTTAGAAAGTTTTTGACTTGCATCATTCAGCTGGAAAACTTTGCACAGGTTTCCTGGTCAATTATATTCAGTTACTTGAAAGCAAGCCAGAAGGAAAAGATCAAAGTAGTAGTGGTTACTACCCCCAAACTGGGTTTCATTGAAAGACAAGATAACTCAGTTCTGAGATGAAAACCGAAGTCATTGTTAATTGAGACAGTCCCTGTACAAAGATGTGACATACACAAATGACTTAAGAAACATATTGCATAGTGAGGGGAGTGTTATGTAAGGCAAGGCACTTCTATAGACATCAAAGTTTCAGGAACAAAGACCTGTGATATGGATAGAATTGAAGGCATGATTAGGAGCCTAGTGAGGGCATAGCCAAGAAAGACAAAGGTCTCCTGACTCCCACTTACCTGCCCAACCTAGTTACTAATAAGCATTTTTGAATACCTATTCTGTATAGAGCTCTGTCTCAATAAGCTCTAGGACTCTCTTCCATGGACAGCCGTGAACATTTCCCATACATTCCAAATGTACCCACATATTAATTCTCCAAGATCAAGAACAAAAATAGGGTCTTTAATCTTATTCCTAGTAACTTTATAGATAACATAGAGCACTAACATAAACCACAGAGCACTAACCACTAAAATAATAAACAGAACATACATGTGCTGTGTTTCTAGGCCTTTTAAAAAGGCCAGCTAGCTCTACAAGCAGAAATACCATGGTGATTATGTGCGTTACACAACGATCCAAACTAAAACACAGTGAAGATAAACTTTGTATTATAAAATATATCACTTCCTAATATTCAGCTACTTCATAATAAGTAAAGATAGCAAATATTACTTATAAGATCAATTGAATTGTTAGGGAGAGAAAAAGAAGGGAATGTACTTAAGAAAACTAGATTTGAAGATATCTGCATAAATTATCCTTGATGTCTTTGTTCCTTCATATGAAAGAAATTTGTGCAGAAAACATTTCAAAAATAATGATCCTAACATTTTTCATATATAAAATGCTGGTAGGCTAGAAAAGCTAATGAATTTAATGTGAGCAAATCAAATCTTTATGACTTGAGTAAAGTACTCTGAAAAATAAATTTAAATTGTACCTTCAAAGAACATAATGTTGAAAAACAAGTACTCAACTATTTTTGGGAGAAAAAAACGAAAAAAGCAATGAGTTATATTGTCAAGACTCAAAGAAAAGAGGACTAGAAATACATGACATTAAACAGCGAATAGAAAAGTCTTCCACCATTTTAGAGGTTGAAAATTGAATTTAAGCAAGGTTTAAATGATTTAGCCCAATTGCATAAAGACAGAAGCTGATGCAAGGTTGGATTTAAGAACTTTGTTGATCCCTGCGTTTTGGTAATTGTGCAAACACACACATATAAAATCCTACTGAATTAAAACATTTCTTGTGAGAATATATACACATACAGATGAACACATACCTATACAGCATACTAATGTGTGCGTGCGCGCGCGCACACACACACACACACACACACACACAAACGCACACATGGTGGGGAGGGAGGAAGGGAAGAGGAGAGAAGAGACAGAAGGGAGGGGCAGTTTATAACTCTGCATGATTCTTAAAAATTAAAAAAAAGTTTTTTTTAATTTTAAAAAGAATAGAAGTTTTCTATGGTAGACATGTAAAGTAGCCTCCAAAATGAGTCTACTCATTAAGAAACTTGAATAAAATATTTTATTATTTAAGTAAATGAACCCAAGCTCTGTTGCCTCTAAAGTTGTGCTGTCCAATGAGGAAGCCACTAGCCATGTGTGGCTACAGAACCTTGAAACCTGGCTAATCTTAATTGTTAAATTTTCGTATTTTAGATATGCTTCTTTAAATAAAATGCAGTATAAAAGTTAAGTTTACTTGCTTCTTCTCATCTTTTCACTTGCTACTAGGAATTTTAATATTACATTTGTGGCTTGCATTATGTTTTTCTCAGACACTGCTGCACTAGAAGGTCAAACTTGACGATTATCCATAAGATACATGAAAATATTATTCTAAATCCCAAATGATTAAACAAGATTAGATTCCTAGAGAATATATTTTCTCCTCAGTTTAACTCTTTACTCGGGCTTGTAAGACTAATTAAACTAACAGATTCTTTGGTAAATAGAAATAAGGAACAATATTTTAATGAATTGTAAAACCACAAAAGGATGGGATTTGCTATGATTGAAAACATCTATTTTAACAGTTCAAACAAAATTGTTAATTTTGGCTTGAATGTTTTTCCTAGGTACACATTCACTGGAATCTATACCTTTGAGTCACTTATAAAAATCTTGGCCAGAGGGTTTTGTTTAGAAGATTTTACATTTCTTCGTGATCCATGGAACTGGCTGGATTTCAGTGTCATTGTGATGGCGTGAGTAATTTTGAAAATTTGATAAATGCAAAGGAATGAAAATAGTCATAGCACAAACCAGGTTGTTGTGACATATATTAAATGTAGACCTTTCTTGTTAGCCAGATTAACTATATGCATTGTGTATTTTGAGAATACATATTAAAATACATATTGCAATGTAAATATACCTGATAAATGATCGATAAACGGGATTATCTTTATGTCATGTAGTCTTTCTCTTCATCAAAATGAAGTTATTCATTGACTACAATTTAATAGCAACAACTGTACTTTGATTTGGTTTTGCAAACAAATGTGTTCATATTCATAAAAATTACACTGAAATAAGTAACACAATTTTGTTTCTTAAAAGCAACTTTCAGCATATGACACCCTGAGGTCTATAAAAAAATCTATTTGTTAAACTCATGGGGCTCTATGTGCCAAACCCAGCATTAACTCCTTATTTAGTATAAATTTTGCCAAAACTATCAGTAACTCTGATTTAATTCTGCAGGTATGTAACAGAATTTGTAAGCCTAGGCAATGTTTCAGCCCTTCGAACTTTCAGAGTCTTGAGAGCTCTGAAAACTATTTCTGTAATTCCAGGTAAGAAGAAACTGGTGTAAGGTAGTAGGCCCCTTATATCTCCAACTTTTCTTGTGTGTTATTGTGTTTGTGTGTGAACCCCCTATTACAGATATGTGACAGAGTTTGTGGACCTGGGCAATGTCTCAGCGTTGAGAACATTCAGAGTTCTCCGAGCACTGAAAACAATTTCAGTCATTCCAGGTGAGAGCTAGGTTAAACACCGAGGCTGACTTTAAGTTTGAAATCAATTCATAATGATTTATATCATTAGCCTTGTTGCTTATTATTGCAGTTCACCCCGTTTAATAATGCCAAATGATGTTTCAATGTCAATTTAGTTTCTAAAATTTTAGAAACCACATGCTTATTTATAAAATCAGCCTTTGAGTTTAACAGAAAATTGCATGAGACATCTACAAAATGTGCTAATTTTGGCCTCTTGCTTTCCCTTCCTCTTTTTTTTTCCTTTTTTCACTACCATGGCTTTACTAACTGATTTGGATTTTACCATTCACTGCAGATCTAGTTCAAAAATGGATCTCCTTTGACAAAGGAGAAAAAATTATTATTGAAGAGCATGCATATGGCATAAGACTTATCTTAAAATTCTTTTATCCTTTGAATTACTGCTGCTTGGAGGTTAAAGAATGGATTGGTGGAAAATAGCTTCATGAAACACAACATCTGAAATAAAAAATAACTCCAAGATTTTCTGTACGTTTGTTCATCATGTAAAACCACACAAACAAAACTTCCTGACCGAATAGTTAAACCTACCTATTGAATTTCCAGAAAGCACACTGTTCATGTGTAAAATCTGCTCTTCATCTATTTCCCAAATCATCAAGCTATCCATACAGCTTTGGAGTCTAAATAGCCAAGCAATCATTTATGAGGGAAAGAGAATATGTGTGACTATTAAGAAATCATGGTTCCTAGCACTTTTCCTCAGGTGACCTATAGTTCTCTCTCTTCAGGTTTAAAGACCATTGTGGGGGCCCTGATCCAGTCAGTGAAGAAGCTTTCTGATGTCATGATCCTGACTGTGTTCTGTCTGAGCGTGTTTGCTCTCATTGGGCTGCAGCTGTTCATGGGCAACCTGAGGAATAAATGTTTGCAGTGGCCCCCAAGCGATTCTGCTTTTGAAATCAACACCACTTCCTACTTTAATGGCACAATGGATTCAAATGGGACATTTGTTAATATAACAATGAGCACATTTAACTGGAAGGATTACATTGGAGATGACAGTAAGAAGTATTGCCACATTATGTTAACCTTAGCGTTGCTGAATGAGTTTTCAACTATAAATAGTTGAGACTGTGGGTGTACAGCGACATTTATAAATAACTGAGATAGTCAAACTCTGATTTATTCCTAATATGAATATCATTAATATGAAATAAAATGGTTTTCTTTTGTATCAACAGGTCACTTTTATGTTTTGGATGGGCAAAAGGACCCTTTACTCTGTGGAAATGGCTCAGATGCAGGGTAAGAAATATATATATAAAATATAGAACTCTTTGTGAGGAAAAAAGTAGATAGGAAAACATCTACATGGTTATACATATAGCTTTACATGTATGCAAGAGTGGTGCTGCCTACCTAGGAAGTGCCTTGTCTGCCTTACTGGATTGCCACTGGTCCTTAACGCACAGCCGTAAAAATCATCCCTTTGTGAAGACCTTTCTCCAGATTTTCACAGTTAAGATGTTCTTAAATTAATGCGCCAATGTGTGAAGGCCCAGAGTCTGTCTTTGCTGTAAACCCATCAGAGCTGTTTAGGAAACACAGGAAGGAACATGAGATGGACACCTTTATGTTGGTGCATATATGTATCAATGGGATGAGTTTTGTTGTGACTGGAAAAGATCCAGAATACAATATGGTCTTCAGGTTGCAAGCACACTTGGGGAAGTGCTTTGAAATACTTAACTATTCTTGAAAGAGCATGAATCTCTGTATACAAAGAAACCAAGGGTCCATGTATGCCAAAGGCATGTCCAAGTTTGAGTTGACATAACGAATAGTTCTTTTCGGTCACATTTTACAATAAGAGATGCTGTGGTATCTTAGTCATGGTGTTAGTCTCTAACCCTTAAATATTTTCCCAAGAGTATTGTAGGTTAATTTTGACTCAAAATAGAGAGTTTTTTAAAAGCCAAGAGATAGCAATAGTAAGTGACTCTTAGGACATGGAACTTAAATATATTTTGATTCATCCTTTAAAAAGGGAAACTGGGGTAGCCATAAAAAAATAAGAGTGTTAATGAAAATGTATGCTAGCCATATAAATAGAACTTTGAAGATTTTTTTTTCCTGACAGATTTCCTACCCTTTATTATGTGAATGTAGTGGGGAAGAACATAGGTTCTAGAGTTCATGTACACCTGGGTTCAAATCCTAACTCCACCATTTGTGAACTCTTTGAACTTGGAAAAGTGTTCTAAGCTCTCTCTGTACCTTAGTTTACTCATCTTTAAAATGGGGAGAGTAATACTCTGTCCCTTTAACAGTTGTGTTGACTAATTGTTTAATACACATAAAATATTTGAACTAACACATGGACAATTGCAAGAATTTATTATATGTACCAGCCTGGGAAACAAAGCTAGACACTGTCTCTACAAAAGAAAAAATAAATAAATAAGAAGAGGGAGAGAAAGAAGAAGAAAAGAAGAACCTAGCCAGGCATTGTGATGCACATATGTAGTCCTAACTACACAGGGGGCTGAAGTAAGAGGATTGCTTGGGCCCAGGAATTACAAACTGCAATGAGCTGTAATCACTCCACTGCACTCCAGCCTAGGAAACATGCTGTCTCTGAAAAATAGCCCGGTGCAGTGGCTCACTCCTGTAATCTCAGCATTTTGGGAGGCTGAAGCAGGCAGATCACTTGAGGCCAGGAGTTTTAGACCAGCCAGGCCAACATGGTGAAACCCTGTCTCAACTACAAAATACAAAAATTAGCTGGGGTGTGGTGATGCGTGCCTGCAATCTCAGCTATTCTGGAGGCTGAGGCACAATAATCTCTTAAACCTGAAAGGTGTAGGTTGTAGTGAGCCAAGATCGCACCACTGCATTCCAGCCTGGATGACAAAGCGAGACCCTATCTATCTCCAAAAATTTTTTTATAAATAAAAATAACAAACACATTATCTAAAAAAAAGAAAAGAAAAGAATTTATTGCATTGCATGTTAACTATTGTTTATTATGATGACGATTAACATAAAAGCCCAGATAAAATTTGGGATAAAGTCGGTTACTGCATACTTTATTCTGGCTAAACCATAATAATCTGTTCCCTTTAATGAATACTTTTTATGGGTTAAGTAACTTACATCAGCATTCCCCAGCCTTTGTGGCACTAGAGACTGTTTTGTGGAAGACAATTTTTCTACGGGTCAAGGGTGGTGGTGGGGAATGATTTCAGGATGATTCAAGCACGTTATATTTATTGTGTACTTTATTTCTATTATTATTATTATTATATTGTAATATATAATGAAATAATTGTACAACATAATGTAGAATCAGTGGGACCCTAATCACAAATGATTAATCTGCCTCAGCCTCTGAATGTGCTGGGATTACAGGCGTGAGCCACTGCGCCCGGCCATTGGTGATGAGTTTTAAATACAAAACCATTTTGTTTTTAAGTGGCACATTCCATTAAAGAAATAAATGATTTATATTTTACTAAAATTAAAAAGCCCTTCTCTTCAAAGGCATTCTTAAGATAATGAAAAGACAAGCCACCAACTGGGAGGTAATATTTGCAAAACATATATCTGATTTACAAAAAAACACAAAACAAAACTGGGGCCAGGAGCAGTAGCTCATGCATGTAATCCAGCACCTTGGGAAGCTGAGTGCAAAGGATTAATTGAATCCAAGAGTTTGAGACTGGCCTGGGCAGCATAAGGAGACACTGTTTCTACAAAGAGTAAAAAAAGAAGTTAGCCAGGTGTGGTGTAGTGTTCCTGTGGTACCAGCTAGTCAGCAGGCTGAGGCAGGAGGATTAAGTGAGCCTGGGAGATTAAGGCTGCAGTGAGCCATGATCAGGCCACTGCACTATAGGCTGGGCAACAGAGTCATACTCTGTCTCAAAACAAAACAACAAACCAGTGTCCAGATTATCTAAAGAACTCTAAACACTCAACAACGGGAAGACAAATGGCCCAATTTAAAACTGGCAAAAGATATGAACAGATACCCCACACAACTATGTACTACAGTTGGCTATTAAGAAGATAAAAAGGTGCTCAACATTATTTGTCATTAGGGAATTGCAAACTAAACAACAATGAGTTACCACTGTACGTCTATTAGAATGACTGAAAAATGTATCTGGCAATACTGACTTCTGATGAGGATGCAGAACAACAGGAACTCTTGCTCATTGCTGGTGGGAATGCAAAACTAGACAACTGCTGTGGAAGACAGTTTGGCAGTTTCTTACAAAATAAACATAGTCTTACCATATGATTGTTGGATCATATGGCAGTTTCTTACAAAATAAACATAGTCTTACCATATGATCCAACAATCATATGGTAAGACTATGTTTATTTTGTAAGAAACTGGTCAGGTAGTTCACTGACCAATTAGAAAACTTATGTCTACACTAAAAAACCTGCATGTGAATATTTATAGCAGCTGTATTCATAATGATCCAAAACTGGAAGCAACCAAGATGTACGTCGGTAGTTATATAGATAAATAAATAGTTATGCCTATATACTAAAATATTACTTAGTGATTAAAAATAAATGAGCTATGATGATATAAACAGATATTGATGAATGTTAAATGCATATTTCTAAGTGAGAAAAAGCCAACCTCAAAAAGCTACATACTGTATGATTTCAATTACTTGACGTTCTAGAAAAGACAAAACAATAGAGATGATAAGAAAATCAGTGTTTGCCAGAGGTTCACGGTGAGGGATTATCTAGGTGAAGCAAAGGGGATTTTTTTTTTCCTAGGGTGAGAACCTATTCTCTAAGATTCTATAATGATTAATATGAAACATAATGCATCTGTTAAAACTCATAGAACTTTATAGCACAGAGAGTGAATCTTAATGATACAAATTTAAATTTTGTGTGTGTGTGTGAGGTTTGGGGATCCCAGGAAGAAATAGAAAATCTGACAAAAATATATAAATGTATTGCAATATATGAAACAACCTCATTGAGGGAGGTGGAGTAATAACATGCAAACCTAAGTAATTTTGGGAATGAGTGGAGTCTGTAAGACTAAATGTAAAAGGAACAATACTCTAGTTGATAAAGTTGTTTCCAATGATAGTATAGATTACCAATCCTGAAACCACCATGCATGTGTACCAGTATTGAGCAATTATACGCATACATATCCCTTTGTTCTGTCAGCTGAGAGGGCCTAGAAGCAATGACACCCCAGTAGTAATAAACACAGCTCTCACCCAGATCTTGGTTTCTAATATAATTTTCCAATAAAGAGAACTAGGGCTCTTTTCTAGGACTGGGGCAAAAAATACACAAGATGAGTCTGGAGCAGCTGATAGTCCCTAAAAGTAAGGAAGTGTTAAAAATAAATAAACAAAAAACACAGCCCACAACTATGGGGTATGTCAAACTGTTAAAGGTGTCAATTGAGTTTCCAGTGGCCAAAGATGAAGCAATTTGAGCAAGAAAATAAATGAAATATCATTGAATTATAACCCAAAATATAAAATGAAAATCCATGACTACATGTTAATTGAAATGATTGAATATATAAGTAAATTATGAATAATGGACAAGTATCCTGTGCAGAATAATTTCAAATAATTTTTGTACATACTTTGCCCTTAAGATCATAACTGCAGGTTCTTTAAATGTGGTCTGTACACAATGACTTTATTCCAAAGAGTACATATGGAAAAGGAAGAAAAGGGAATACAAACACTAACAAACACTAGCTCAAAATAGATGATGAAAGTTAACATTAACAGTAATAAGTATGAACACTTGGCATGATGTGATGTGATGGTAATGATATTTTACCTCTGTAGTCTTCCACCCAAAAATCCATAACCTCAATATAATCATGAGGCAAACATTAGACAAATCCCAATTGAAAGACATTCTACCAAATATCTGACTAATAATCCTCAAAATCGTTGTGGTCATCAAAAACAAGGAAATTCTGAGAGGTTGTCACAGCCAAAAGGAACCTAAAAAGACATAAACACTAAATGTAATGTGTATCCTGAACGAGATCCTGGAACAAAAAAAAGGACATTAAGAAAAAAACAGGGTATCTGAATAAAATAGTAAATTTAGGTAATAATAATGTATTAAGGCTGGGTGCAGTAGCTCACACCTGTAATCCCAGTACATTATAAGGCTGAGGTGGGAAATTGCTTGAGCACAGAAGTTTGAGACCAGCCTGGGCAGCATAGCAAGATCCCACCTCAATTAAATAATAACATTGTATTAATACTAAATGGCACGGAATGAACAAGCTCTGTACTATCTTCATACTTTTTCTGTAAATCAAAATTTGTTCTAAAATATCAACTGTATTTTAGAAAATTCTACAAAACTGGCTAATGAAATAGTTAATTGATTCCCCACTCTCCTGCTGTTTTCTGGCTTTTAATTTTTAATTATTTATTCTTACCATTTTGTGAAGAATAGAAAAATGGTTGTCAGGGCCAAACATATTTGGTTGTTCTCTGCCATTCTAAATGTCTGTAAATGTTTCTTTGTATCTAAATTTTCTATTGGTTTTCCTAGTGAATTTCACCTGATAAGTTTCACAGTGAGCAATCACCTAAAATGATCTGGAAATGAAAGCAAGAGAATTCATCACAGATAGCAACTTTGGGTTTTGAAAATTTCTATAAGTCAAATCAATTGAAGTTGCTGTAATTTCTATACTGACCCTACCTCCATTTCTCTCTCTTATAGCCAGTGTCCAGAAGGATACATCTGTGTGAAGGCTGGCCGAAACCCCAACTATGGCTACACAAGCTTTGACACCTTTAGCTGGGCTTTCCTGTCTCTATTTCGACTCATGACTCAAGACTACTGGGAGAATCTTTACCAGTTGGTAAGGTCCAAATGAGCATGCATAACATTTATTGTTATAAACATATATGAATTGAAAAGCATAGGCCAGGTGTGGTGGCTCATGCCTGTAATCCCAGCACTTTGGGGGGGCAAAAGTGGGTGGATAACTTGAGTCCAGGAGTTCAAGACCAGCCCCAGCAACATAGTGAAACCCCATCTCTACCAAAATACAAATATTTGCTGGTTGTGGTGGTGTGCACCTGCAGTCCCAGCTACATGGTGGGCTGAAGTGGGAGGATCACCCAAGCCCAGAAGCCAGAGGTTGCAATGAGTTGAGATCATACCACTGCACTCCAGTCTGGATGACTGAATAAGACCCCATCTCAAAAAATAATAATAATAATAATAAATACGAAAGAAAGGCAAAGGAAAGGAAAGGAGAGGGGAAAGGAGAGGAGAGAGGAGAGGAGAGGAGAGGAGAGAAGGGAGAGGAGAGGAGAGGAGAGGAGAGGAGAGGAGAGGAGAGGAGAGGTGAGGAGGGAAAGGAGAGAAAAGAAGGGGAGGGAAAGGAAAAAGAAGGGAAAGGAAGAGAAGGGAAGGGAAGAGAAGGGAGGGAAGAAGGGAAGGGAAAGGAGGGGAACGGAAGGAAGGGAGGGGAGGGGAGAGGAGAGGAAAGGAGCCTCTTATAACATTCTGGAATACAGAGAAGTGTCCAGCATAAAGCAAGTGTGCAGGGAATCCTAATTTATCATTGAGTCAGTACCTATATATGTACACTGAGAACTTTTTATGAGAAAGGCATTCTTCTAGAACTATGGGGATGCAAAGAATGTTCATGACTCTGAGAAGTTGATAATCCAGTTGTGGGTATATAAACAACACATTAAAACATTTTAAAAATCAGTGATCTAGATGTGAAAATTTCAAATTAAAGCCCTAGCTATTAATGGAGGCTAGAAGAGGAGGGAAGCAAAAGTCATCTATAAATAGTATAGAAAATGTCATCTCTAGTTGGTTTATAGTCTACCATCTCTAGATCTAGAGATGGTAGACTGCAATGCAAGTGGAATCCCACTGAAAGGATTTAAAGATTCAGTGCTCCCACTTGTCATATTATTGCCCTGCATATGAACTCCAATAAAAGCATTATGGCGGGCCTCACATATGAATTTAAAATGTATTTATACCAAACAAGAGTGCAGTCAAGCCTCAAAGAATCTGATTATTATTTGTGTGTGTTGCACATATTAATACCAACAAATTATTGATTAACATGAACTAGCTAATCAGTCTACTGACTATCTAACTATGGCAATCATATATTTATTTGGAGACATTATACTAAAACACTGATGGAATTATCCCCCATTTCCCTTAGACGTTACGTGCTGCTGGAAAAACGTACATGATATTTTTTGTGCTGGTCATTTTCTTGGGCTCGTTTTATTTGGTGAATTTAATATTGGCTGTGGTGGCCATGGCCTATGAGGAACAGAATCAGGCCACTCTGGAAGAAGCAGAACAAAAAGAGGCCGAATTTCAGCAGATGCTCGAACAGCTTAAGAAGCAACAGGAAGAAGCTCAGGTACTGAATGATAAAAGCAAAGATTTATTAGTAGTAGTAGTAGTTTCTAAGTAGAAATAGTGTTGTACTATACAGGGTAGATTAGAACTGGCTTTTCATTTTATAGATAGGCATTGTCATTAGAAAAAGAAAAATATTCAAATCTGAACTAGTTTCTGAAGTTGGAGCCAAATAAACTTTTTAGACACTGTATATAAAGAAATCAGCTAGTGGATAGAAAATAGATTAGAGATAAGATTTACAATTCCATGGAATTGTTTTATGGAACCTAAGAGGGGAATTTAATTTTTTATTTAATTGAGTAAAGAAATAAAACTGATATTTCCAATTATTAGTGATTTACCCTAACTATGACATTTGAGATTTTGTTCTGAAGTTAATTGACTTTAAATGTTGACCAGAAGACTTTATATGTACCTATGCTTAACAATTCTTAGGGATTTCTGAAGGAAAAAAAAAATGCTATAGCCTATATCAGGATATCAGAAAGGTATTTAAAGTTAGATGTCAAGTTAAGATTTTTTTTAACATTAACGGATGTTTGGGCTGGGGTATAGTGAATGGGGCATTAATGTGTTGAGGAGAAGAGACAGAAACAGAGTACTGTATTAAAACGCAGAAAAAAAAAAAACCCATATACTGAAAGACTCTTGCAAAGACACCGTAAAAGTACAATTCATGACAGTTAGGATTATAATTTCTCAATATCTCTGCCAACATTTGATATGGCCAGTCTTTCTAATTTTAGCCATTCTAGTAAGTATCTCATTGCTGTTTTTATTTTTGTTTTCCTAATAACTAATGAAGAGCATCTTTTTCTGTTCTTGTTTTCCATCTGTATGGCTTCTTTTATGAAGTGGTTGTTCAAATCTTTAACCCCTCATTTTTTTACTTAGGATGTTCGATTTCTTTCATTTTTCCCCCCCAGTTTCTTTCTTTCTTTTTTTTTTAATTGTACTTTAGGTTCTGGGGTACATGTGCAGATCATGCAGGATTGTTGCATAGGTACATACATGGCAAGGTGGTTTGCTGCCTTCATCACCCCATCACCTATATCTGGTATTTTGATTCTTTGGGATATAAGCCCTTTATCACATATATGCTTCTCAAATATTTGAAGTGAAGTTTAACCATTGTATTATTTCTTAGCTTTTTTGTTTAAATCATTCTTTTGGATCTAAAAAATTTTTGCCAAGTCAACACCACAAGTATTTTCTTATAAATTTTCTTCTAAAGTTAGTTTTATTCTTTAAATTTAGGTCAGTAGCTCATTTCAAGTTAATTTTTGTATAACATATGAGTGATATATTGAGATTCACTTTTTAAAAATATGAGTGTCTAATTATTCCAACTGCGTTTAAACAAAATATCCATTCTCCATTACATTGCCTTTGAACCTTTGTCAATTATTAGTTGTCCATACGTGAATGGACTCTATTCTGTTCAGGACTCTATTTCTGGACTCTATTCTGTTCAGCTAATTTATTTGTCCTTTTAATACCAATACCACACTCTCTTACTGTACCTTTTATGGCAAGTCTTGAAATAAGATAGTGTAGGTCCCCAACTTTTGGTTCTTTGGTTTTTTTTCAAAGTTGTTTTATGTCTTTTGTAGTTCGATATGAGTTTTAAACTTCATTTGTCAATATCATTTTGAATTATTTCTATTTCTGTCATCAAGTCAACTATCTTTTCTTTTGCACATTTAATCTGCCACTAGTCTCATCCAGTGCATTTGTCATCGTAAACACTATAATTTTCATCTCTACAAGCTCAATGTGCGTCTTTTTTTATATTTCCTCTATCTCTAATTAACATTGTGAACATACATAATGCAGTCATAACAATTGTTTAAATTTTCTATCTGCTAATTTGAACATCTGTATCAGTTCTTGGTCAGTTTTGATTAATTTTTCTCTTTATTATGGGTCATATATTTCTGCGGTTTTATGCTCCTGACAATCTTCAATTGAATTCCAGACACTTTCAATTTTACTTTTGTGGGTGCTGGATATTTTTGTATTCCCGTAAAAATTATTGAACTTTGTTTTGGGACATAGTTATGTCATTTATACACAATTTGACCCTTTTGTATCTTTAAACCTTTTAAAATTTGTTAGGCAGAAGCAAATAGCATTTATTCTAAGACTAACTGTTCCTCACTAGTGAATCAAGACCCTTCCTAACATTCTACCAATGCCCATTTAAAATGAAGCGGTTACCAGTGTAAAAACAGGCACTGTTCTGGCACAGTGCGATTGCTGCGTGGTGTTCCCTCTAATCCTTGGCCTCAGGTAGCTTTCTAAAACACATGCTTGGTGAATAATTTTCTCAATACTCAAGGGGTACCTGAGAAGGTCCCTAGAGTTATCTCTCTGCTCAACTGTCTTCTGTGGTACCCTGTGAACTATAGAGCCACCCTGATTTTCCTGGAGTCAGCTTCATCTCCACCATTCAGGGAGTCTGCAGAGATACTTCCTCTCTACACCAGTCTGGAAGTTCCAGGCCATATATTAAGAGAATCATACAGCTTGCTTGTTTTTCTGTTTTCCAATATCTCAAAACATCCTGATCTGATATCCAGTGTCTTCAAAACCACTGTAACATGTATTTTGTCTGTTTCATTGGTTGCTTCAGGAGAGAGGAAATCTGGTCTCTGTTACTCCATTTTGACAAGAAGCAGAAATCCAAATAATATTTTTATGCACTGACTTTTTTGAGGTTTTATTTTTTAATGAATGGCTTCACATATTTGAAGTGTTCTTTGGATGATGGTATATACTGGAAATTGGTATATTCAAAATTTAAGTTTTTAATAATTCTGATTTACTTTGAAGATGCACAACGAATATCATTAGGTCCTTCCTCAAGGAATTTTTTGGTGAAACGAAGATACTGCAATAAGTTGTTTAGCTAATTATTGAGCTAAACCATAGACTTAGCTTTGGCTTAACACACTGGCTTGACCACTTTCTTCTTACCATTGGGTATAGAGTAGTAACGTGTTTATACCGTATTGATTTTATACAGAAAACTATAAACAAATTTGGTGAAACTCGAAAGTCTTCTAAAATATATCTCACACTTGCCAGAAAGTTCCACATTTCAATTATTTGTTTTATTCGATATCACTATACATAAAACACATGTATAAGATAATGAAATAAAATAGCTATTTATAGGGCAAATACTTTATTTCAAAGTTTTAAATAAATGTTATAGAAAATAATATTCATAAATTGCATATAATTACATCTTAAAGCACTGGGTTTTTCTATTATCACTAATAAAAGCAGACAAATTAATGTACTTGAAAATTCTACACAGATAACAAACTACGGAAATGAGTTTATTCTAGAAAGCAGCCATTTTAGGGTAAAATACGGCATCAGTTAAGAGTATGGTCCTTTTGAACTTAGAAATAAACATGCACTATGTCTTAGCAGAAGTTTAAAGAACCTAATTATCTACTTATGATAAGTTTGCCTAAAAAAATCAGTTCTATCTCAGTTACTGAGTTTTAGTGACCAAAACATCACAATTTGATTCAACTTTAGCTTCATACATACAAAATTTAAATTTATCTAAGGTAAAGTGTTTTCATACTGATTGGAATAGCACAGTACCAAATCCATTTTAGCTCCATATAGACAACATAGGCAGTGATGACCAGTAAATTGCCAATGTTGAAGCCTGGAGGAAGTTGGAGGCAAAGAGAGAGAATTAGTGTACCTATGAGATCATTTATGCTGCAGTGTAGCTTAAGTCTTGCTAACCACCTGTGACTCTTCGAAAGTTGCTATCTGGCCAATGACTTCATAAAGGCTAGCATCACTTCCATCTTTGTTTATTATTGATTGAGGGCCCACCTCGGGGTACTCATTGTGTAGGCATGAAAAAATAATGTGGAGAAAGACAAACCCTGCAAAGAAAGGAATGTTTTGTCCTAGATCATTCTAATTGTGTTTGGCTCTTAAATTGTGATCTTTAAGTGCCTAATGTTGCCCAGCTTAGTATATCCCATAGCAATTTATATTGCTCCGATAGGAAAAAATTTGGGAGTAAGATCTAGAACAAAATTTGAAATAGTAGCATTCAAGAGATCTAATATAATTCAGGGTAGAATAGAAATAGGTGTAGTTGATGTCTTATAGCTTTGAATGGGATTTTAACTGGAATATATGTGTAAAGTGAATGAGGTATTAGTTATGTGGTTATATTTTTATGGGCACACAGATACAGTGAGTTACAGAGCCTATTATAAGAAGATGTTATTTCCTGAGTAAATATTAAGTGAAATTTCTTATTTGTTACAAGAGGAATTCAGCAAATGGGCTGGGAAAGTAACACTATTATTCTAATAAGCAGGACATTGATAGTGTTGTTGGGCATAAACAGGTACACAGACATGATAGATGAGAGGAAACATCTGCCTTTGAGGGAATTGGCAAATCACTGGAAGCGGAATAAGTGACAGATTTGAGTTGATGAGTGACGCAGAAAATGTGTCGGAGGTTACCTTTGTTGCCTTAGAAATATGTTTTGGTTTTGAGTTATTTGAACTGTTACCCAGAATAGGTAGGGAAATAATGTCTTATGCAAAACAAAGTTTGGGGCTGGGTGCAGTGGCTCATGCCTGTAATCCCAGCACTTTGGGAAGCTGAGGTGGGTAGGTCACTTGAGGCCAAGAGTTTGAGACCAGCCTGACCAACATGGTGAAATCCTGTGTCTACTAAAAATACAAAAATTAACCGGGCGTGGTAGGTCACGCCTGTAATCCCAGATACAGGAGGCTGACGCAGTAGAATCACTTGAACTCAGGAGGTGGAGGTTGTAGCGAGCCAAGATCATGCCATTGCATGCCAGCCTGGGCGACAGAGTGAGACTCCATCTCAATAATAATAATAATAATAACAAGTTTGGAAGTGATTTAAATGAACATAAGTTTTAGAATTATGGTAAGGGAATATTACCACCACTTCCTTTGTTTCCAGGGACAAACAAGTCAGTAAATGATTAACACTGTGTGTTGTGTGTTTGCGCCTATATAAAATGGAAACGAGAATTAAGGACTTTATTTGGATAAGAAAGGGTATATATATATATTCACTGTTTCAACAAATGGTATATGTTATGTGCCTCATATGTATCAAGCACCATGTAACTATATTTAACTTGCTACAGATAAGTGATTCATTTATTCACTTTATTTTGCATATATAGTCAGCTATAACACATACTTAATATTTCTCATTTTACATCATGAATTATATTAAAAGTGATGCTGATGATCAATAATTCAAGTAAAAACATGGCTATATGACTACATACAATTTTATAAATATCCAAATTCTGAATTAGTGTTTCATTTAAATGTTGGACATTGTCTTACATCAAGTCTTAAATCTGAGCTTCTATTATGAATAGAGTGCTTAATATAAATAAATATCTGTTACATTTTTTGTGTTGCTTAGTCAAACACATAAATTTACATATTTATTACTATGGTTCCTTGCCTGAGATCATTGTAATCCTAGAGAATTTGCAGCATAGTAATTTTGGATTTAAAATCTTTTTAAAATTTTAGTTAACACGAGGTTTAAAAATGAAAACTACTTAGAAGGGTTTGCCTTTTCTCAGGAGAGATGGGAACATAAAGCACACCGTGTTGCCAAAACATTAGAAATGGGTTTTATCTTCATTTCTTCCTAAAGTATGCTGTTATATAGACCGTTATGACAGCATCTTTTATGATGTCTTGAAAAGTCCAGGCTAGGTATGTCTTGTTCTTCCTCCACCCCTACCCCAGTGTCTGAGACAACTGATAGCAAAATACCCTTCTAAATCATTATTTACCAATTATTTACTAAGCCCTTTTTATGTCAGGTGACATACTAGTCACTGAGCATGCAATGGTACGATTTCTATCTAGCTTACAGTTGGTGGGAAAGATAAACAATGTAGTAGATTAGTTAAAGTTGTTTGTATTTAATGATGACATATGTAGAAAGTTTAACTGAAATTGTCATAATTTAATTAATTCCACTTCTGTGGTTACATTTACAAATAGTAATATATTTAATGAGAACTCAGCTTTGATATGGACCATATTGTTTAATATCCTCTGTATGTTATTGTTAGATCATTTCCAGTCTAAAAATAGTATTTGTCATGTTTCACCTCAGAACTGACTGTGTTTCATTAGCAGGTACAAAAATTCAAAGTGCTTAAGAATATTTAGTGCTAAAATATGGAAAGAAAATATCTGAAGAAGTTCTCATAATCCCTTGAATGAATTTATGTGTTGCTATGTTAATCACTTGTTATTATTTAGAATATTAAATAATTTATAAACATTTAAAATTTTAAAGTTATATGTAGTAAATACTCTGGGAGTAACACAAACACAGAGAGTGAACTATAGTCCTAAATGTAAATCAAACTAAGGAAGAAGATAAACTAGCCAATACATTCCTTTACTTCCATCTGGAGATAAAATAGTAGACACTTTAAATGTTTTGAGCTCACAAAAAAAGAAAAGAAACAGCATTTTGTACTGGATTTAGAGGGGAAAAAAATACTACTCAGTTGCTCACAAGTGCACATAGGAGGAAATATTTTACAGATGGAATCAGAATAGTAGTCAGATAAGCAACCACCACTAAGAGAACATTTGCTTTTTAAAGCGTAGAAGATACTTTGAAGAGAACATTTTGCCCTGAAAAAAAAAGAAAAAGAAAAGAAAAGAAAGAAAGAAAGACAATCCAGAAGATAGGTAAAGCTAGACTTTTCTTGCCCTCATCCATACATTGGCATATTGCTTCATATGATTTAAAATGTAAGTGTCATTGTTAAGTAAACTGTTTGGATGAGACAAAATGAAAGACTAGAAGAAGGTAGAATTTTCGCTTATAATTGATGAGTCTTAAATGGCAACATTTTACCCATACTCAACTGTTTTCAAAGCTCTGTGTTCTAAATAGTGCCTGGCTTCGTTTCACAACAGGCAGTTGCAGCAGCATCAGCTGCTTCAAGAGATTTCAGTGGAATAGGTGGGTTAGGAGAGTTGTTGGAAAGTTCTTCAGAAGCATCAAAGTTAAGCTCCAAAAGTGCTAAAGAATGGAGGAACCGAAGGAAGAAAAGAAGACAGAGGGAGCACCTTGAAGGAAACAACAAAGGAGAGGGAGACAGCTTTCCCAAATCTGAATCTGAAGACAGCGTGAAAAGAAGCAGCTTCCTTTTCTCCATGGATGGAAACAGACTGACCAGTGACAAAAAATTCTGCTCCCCTCATCAGGTATGATCTTCTGCTAAGTCCTTCGGTTTCTTTGTCATTGCTGTTGCTTTTTAACTGTTGCATTTTGTTTTGGTACATTTTTGTACTGTCTGACTTCAGTGAGGGACAGTGAGCTAATATTTAATGTAGTTGTTTAAATTCTTATCAAAGATTGTCTTCAAAGGGATTTTTCTTAAACCATTAATAAAATGTTCACTATTTTGAGACTGATACATATATGCAACCTATACCATCAGACTTTTCAATGAGAGTTTTGGAATCTCTTGTTTACATTTTCCATTTTGAGATCCCTGATAAACCTATTTTCTTTGAGAATGGGTTTCTGCCTTTGTTATCCAAAGTTGTGATTGTAACATACATATAAATTGTGAAAAGAAATGCTTTTTTGGTTTTGTCTTTATCCTTTGATATGAGAATTGGACTATGGTGAGTCTCCATTTTGCTTGCATAGCGTCATGCCATGATATATTAGAATGAAATTATGACCTAAATATTCTTGAAGAGAACAGAATCAGTCATCTATTTTTGCTCTAATATAATGCCAACTACCTGGTTCTTCAGCATATTTTTAAGTAAAAGAGTAAAAATTAGTTTCAACTATTTGTTGTTTAGTAAGTTTTATAGATTATTAAGCGAATATATTGTTTATATTTGTATAATGTAAAGAATAAATAGTTATAAAATCTGTGATAAGTACAGTTATGGCTTTGAACACTATTTGGCGCCATTAGAATTCCATGTGCTATGAATTGCAAATGCTTCTAATTTTAACAATCTTGAGTCAGAACTATACCCTAAAAATAATGCTTTGAGAGATAATATATAAGATTAACTTAATCAGAACTGCAATCAACCAAGAGGTATGATAGCTTTTTCACAGAGAAAGAAACTTTAAAAAAAAAAAAAGCGGAAGTAATAAACACAAAATTCAACACAGTATTACTTTTGGTTGGGAAGAAAGATAATATAAATTCTCAGTGAATGTTTTATAATCTATTTTTAATATGTTAACAAGTATTTTTAAAGAAAAAAGTAGACTGTATTAATAACTTAAAACTTGTATTCTCATATTAGAACAAAATGGACATGAATACACAGAGTTAGAAGATAAAAAACCATTTTTCTACAGAGAATGTCAATATCAAGAAATTCAACTATTGCTATCTTATGTAATACAAATATAAAACATATTATCAAATCAGTATAGCACATTTGGAATTACCTTGAAGCGCTGGAGGGCAACTTGGTTTCTCAGATCAGATTTTTTTTTCTTAAACAGTCACTTTGATATTTTGGAATTCTTAAAGCTAGGAGTTATTAGAATTAGGAGTATATGAGACTATAGCATAATGATCCTATAGTGAACACAAGCTTTTGTGTTCATAACTCAACTCCATACTAGATCTTGACCTTGGTCAAGTCATTTGTACTTTTTAAATTTCTGTAAAATACAATAAGAATGCCTACATTAGAGAGTTGTAGGAGACTAAGCAATATATGGACAATCTGTGTGACAATAAGTCTCTTATTAAGTTAAAATTGGTAAATGAATTTCAATGAGGGAAACAAAACTTTTGAGTAGTTTCAGTTATTCACAAATGTATATACCTAGTTTGATAGCAGTGTTATTTCCTTTATTGTTTCATCATTTTGCTCAAATAAAAGTTTGTAGACTAGTTCATTCAGTCCAATTCACAAATATGTATTGATCGCCAATTATGTGGCAAGCATAGATCTAGATGCTGAAAATACCTCAATGAACAAAAGAGACTCAATGCACTCACCTCATGGAATTTTATTCTAAAGGAGACAGACAATAAACAAAATAAATAAGTTATAGACCATGGTAGAACGTAATAAATGTTAAGGGGAAAAAAAAGTAAGCAGGAAAACAAGAATAGGAGCCATAATTGGAGGTTAAATTTTTAATAGGGTGGTTTAGAATGACCTCACTATTAAGACATTTTAGCAAAGATCTGGAGGAGTCAAAGGACGAGGTTACCTTCTGAAACAGAACTCTAAGCTGATGAAAGAGAAAGTACAAAACCCTGACATGGTCACATGCTTGGTGTGCTCAAGGAGCAACTGGTAGACCTAGTTTGCCGGAGCTGGGTGAACCACAGATAGACAAGAGAAAATAAGTTAGCTGATGGCCAGTGTTTTAATACTAAAAACAGAATCAGTGCATGCATATGTTATATGTCTTTCATTGTATATTTGTGAATAGACAGAAGATAGATGGATAGATAATTTCAAAAGTGAAAGAAATAATTTAATTACTGTTAAATTTGCATATCCTAGTAAATACAGCCTAAGAGCATTAACACAACTAACAAGCAGAAATGTACCGTAGATGGTTTACAATTTCTGATTCTGTAAACAGAAAAGGACTCTGCTAGAAAAAGAATCAGTGAAGGTGGTGGGAACAAAAAGCCTAAGATAGACAGTAAATACTGCTCAGATCAAATACATCTTCTGAAAATGTCAAAGCAAAGAGGCCATAAATTGTGGGTACCCTGCCTTCCACTCGCATAAATTTCAAATGTTATTTTATGTTTATTACATTATTTTATTTTTAACTAGATAATACATGTTAGTAGTACAAAATAAAGAAGTATTTAAAAGTATAAAATGAAACCTCAAAATGCTAAGTACTTCTTCCTATAGAGACTCACTTACTTGTTCCCACTAGAGTATCTTAGAATTCCCTGCATCTTTTTACATCTTGACTTTTCCCAACTCACTTTGAACCCAAACCCTACATGTACGATTGTCTTACAGACCTAATTTCTTCTATTTTCCCTTTTGTTAATGAAAACTAAGAAACAACCTACATTTGTCTTCTGGGAACAAGATGAAAAAGATACCTAGGAAATATCTTTTGACATCCCTAAGGCAAAGAAAGATGACCTTTCACTCCTTAAAACATTAAAGCTGGTTTTCCCTAGAGAAAGTGTTGCCGCAGCTGTGGGTATTCCCTCCACTCTGCTGCATCTTCCAGTGTGTTATTTTTGGTTTATTTTCTCTGAATGCTATTTCTGTTATCTTCTTTTTCTGTCTCTGGTGCCTTGAAAGCTGTGCTCACACCCATTATTATGCATTCCAAAGAGTGAATAGAAGTTTCAAATAAACTCAGAGGTCTGGAATGCCTTTGAAAATACCTGACATAAAAATATCCAAATTAAACACATGTCCCAGATACATAATGGATGTACATACATACCACATACTCCCAACCAATTTTGTTTAGACCAATTTTCAGTTTCCAGAGACAGTTTCAGAACATAGGTATATTGAGACGATTACACTGAGCCATCCTAGGGATTAATGTAAGACCAAGTTAGTATGTCTCTGAGTGTAGGATGAGGCCCACCATCTATTACAGTCACCTGGAATACATCTGGAAAATTCATGTTCCAGAGTCCTATCTGCTACTTGCCGAATTCCTATTCCAAAAAGCTGGGACCTAAAAATATATGTATTTTTTTTAACTCTCAGTGTGATTCCAATATACTCAAACATTTCAAAACACTAGTTCTGGGCTGGGCATGGTGGCTCATGCCAGTAATCCTAGCCCTTTGGGAGGCCAAGGCGGGCAGATCACCTCAGGTTGGGAGTTCAAGGCCAGGCTGACCATCATGTTAAAACTCTGGATTTCCTAAAAATGCAAAAATTACCCAGGTACGGTGGCAGGCACCTTCTAGTCCCAGCAGCTCAGGAGGCTAAGGCAGGGGAATAGAAACAGGAGGTGGAGATTTCAGTGAGCCGAGACTGTGTCACTGTACTCCAGCCTGGGTGACAGAGCAAGACTCTACCTCAAAACAATAACAACAAAAACACTAGTTCTGGATATAACTGTTATTATATTGATCATTTAAGTGGAGTCTGAGAAAATTAAAGGCATTAACATTCTTTTTTAATGGGGGGTGAATTGACATCTTCACATGACCTAATCTCTTGATCACTTTGCTATAATCACTCTACTGTCTGCCCTTCGGTAGACAAACCTGCTACAGGAATTGAGTGTCACATAGACCCAGGCTCCGATGGACAAGCTGGACAGCCAATAGTAACTGTGGAAAATCTAACCAAATCCAAAGGAACAGAATACTTCTTACTGAATAATATCCTTCCAGAATATCACTGGGACAGAAAACAACAAAGATTATTCTGGTGCTTTGCAGTCTGGGAAAAGCCATAAAAATAAAGCTAAAAACGGTGCCTAAGAAAATCAGCATGACCTAATTAGGCAGAGGAGCCAAAAATACATTTGACAGAGTCTGCCTTTTCTGTTTTTTCCACTAAAATCATTTTATTTGGATTTACACTAAAGCTTAGAAGAAAGAGAAGATCCAGGAATATTTGCTGCTGGCATATGTATATGTATATGGATGTATGTATATTACCCTGGCTGTGAAGAGAAGTGGGTAGGAAAATGAGAGCGAGAGCAAGGAAGAATGCTATTGTTCATGATCGGGGAGAAAACAAATATTCTGCAGACTAAATAGAGATGTTTTTGAAAACTATTCACAAGACTAGAATACACACAGAATTAGTTGGGGTTGCCAGTTTAAAATCCTTTCAAAATGTGAAAGAGGGAACGTCAAGCTAATTCCTCATTTTCTGGTACTAGGAAATAGTTTGCTTGATTTATTTGGGAATAGCTGTAATAAAAAAGTTTTTAAATTGTCTCTTTTTAATATAATTAAAGTCAAGTCAGAAGTATATGCTGTTTTTTACACCACCCTCTGGTGAAGTCATGTTATATGTCTTGCTTTTATATGCCAGTGTTAAATTTTACCCAAGAAGAATAATTTATGTAGCAGTTTAGGAATCCTCTCTGTTGTGCTTGCTATGACATATAGTCTCTCAAATAAGGTGAATCATTGGTTGCCATTTGGGAAACTGTTAGCAAATTTGGAAGACAACATTGTAGGTAAGTTTTGTGACTTCTATTCCCATGTGGGTAGAGACAAACAGTTTCAGAGAAAGAGTAAACTACATCTGTTTCAGAATTCAAAAGAAGAGAATGGAAAAATAGTTATTTTTTTAAAAAAATAATTATCTTGAAATATTTGCTATACTGCAACATTTAAAACAAATATTTTAAATTTGAGACAATATTCTCACGTGAGCCAAAATTTATTCTCCAGGTTGCAGTCCCTTCAGATTATAGCATTAAGAAGTGGAAGCTACTTACTATTTCCTTAACCACCACCCCCACCAAAAGAAATCATTTATCCCCTTCAGCATCTGGTCCCTAACCTATAGCATTGTGATAACCCAATCCACCTCAAGTGAAGACTAAATGAAGTGGTTGTACACTTGGTAAATTGCAAATCAATATTGTTAGTCAGAAAAACACTTTTTGTCCTTAAATTTGCTTTAATAAAAATATCAAAATATATGTGTCCTCTATAAATTTTATTATCCATGTTTAAGAGCAAGACTATTCTAACCCCAAAGAAAATAGATCCTGTAATGTTAATACTTTTATTAAATAATTGTCTTTCCTCCCACCCCCATCCCATTCTTTTCCTTTTTGCTTTCTCCGCAGTCTCTGTTGAGTATCCGTGGCTCCCTGTTTTCCCCAAGACGCAATAGCAAAACAAGCATTTTCAGTTTCAGAGGTCGGGCAAAGGATGTTGGATCTGAAAATGACTTTGCTGATGATGAGCACAGCACATTTGAAGACAGCGAAAGCAGGAGAGACTCACTGTTTGTGCCACACAGACATGGAGAGCGACGCAACAGTAACGTTAGTCAGGCCAGTATGTCATCCAGGATGGTGCCAGGGCTTCCAGCAAATGGGAAGATGCACAGCACTGTGGATTGCAATGGTGTGGTTTCCTTGGTGGGTGGAACTTCAGCTCTAACATCACCTACTGGACAACCTCTCCCAGAGGTGATAATAGATGAACTAGCTGCTACTGACATTATTCACCAATTTGAAATAATCAAAGCCTGGACAGTTTAGGCTGTCTATTATACCGTCCTGCTTCCTCAAAATGAAAGTCGGTGAAAATAAAACATGATTAATGAAACGGAAAACAATAGAATCTTGAGAATCAATTGAATTGTATGGGACTATTAGCTTTTGTTGTATGGGAATTAATGGTAAGGGACCATGCCTTTAGATTAAAAGGGCCTAGTTTTTCTAGTCTTGTATAAAACACATATCTGCATATTTGGGAGATCTACTAAGACAAATAATGGACATTTTGACCATCAAATCAAATGTATATTCACCCAGAATTGTATAATTATCTATTCATATTCTGGAAAATTCCATATTCCTAAAATTAAATATTGTAACAACCAATTTGTTGATAATGGGCAATTTCATACAACTGTCAATATTTACAGAGCTATTTTAAAATAATTCTAAAATGTGTTGATTTTTTAATAGGAAATAATTAAAGAAATTTCAGGAAAGCACACACATTTCATTGTACATCTGTGTTTGTGCATGAAAAAAATTGGCCCACATATGTCAATATTGTCAATATAGTCTCAAAGAAAATAACTCAGCCTTGAGACTATATAATCTTAGTATTTATGGGGGGAATATTGATTTGATTATTAATCATTGATAGAAGATTAAAAATTAATTTTCAACTGAATGAAATAAAATAATGAATGACTTTAGCATGTTTACAACAAATGAAAATTCTGACAGGTTAATTAAAATATTTCCATAATATAATTGTGTTATACAACTGCATCCAGCTGGTGAATTCTTCTTAAAGAGTACTACCTGCAATAACTTTTTAAAAAAAGTGTTTATAACTTAACAATAACTTAATATTTTATTATTCCTTGAAAATTCTTACCTGGAAAAATTGCATGTAGCATGATTTGCCAAAGAAATGCTATGTGATATTGTACTAGTTATTGGAAGGAGTGGTTTGAGCCATCAGTATTTGGTTTGCAGGGCACCACCACTGAAACGGAAGTCAGAAAGAGAAGGTTAAGTTCTTACCAGATTTCAATGGAGATGCTGGAGGATTCCTCTGGAAGGCAAAGAGCCATGAGCATAGCCAGCATTCTGACCAATACAATGGAAGGTAAGAAGCACTTCATGGAGCTGTCAACTTTCTGTGATTATGTGTGTTGTGGAACTATTTCTTCTTTTCATAGAGTTACTGAAGACTATTCCCAGATTGAAAATATATATTAGATGTAAGAATGTGATATATGGAGTATATTATCATATTGATTACAAAAACTAATATTGGCCTAATTTCTTTTTGACTTGGGTCTTTATCTTGCTTGCAGAGTGATATTTCACCACTTGATCTTATATCAATGAGGATTTATTCTTATGTTATGTTACTCATATGCAAATAGAGTAAACTTTTCCCCCTTTGTAAGTCTTGGTATATAGAAGCATAAGAAAACATTTCTTTCAGGCTTTAGTCTGTTCTTCAGGCATAGAGGTGTTTATGGCATTGTGGGAGTGCTTGAATGAGTGGGACAAATCAAAACCTGTGCTATACTCTGACAGAGACCCTAAAAAAGGGTCTCTCTTCCACCTTCTACATACACAGCAACTATTACATTCCTCCAAAGGACCCCCAGACACAAATGCTTATAGATTTTTGACACACAGGAATGGGCAGCAATCATTCATACATTAAACTTGTCCGTACATCACACAGTCCTCACTCCTTGAAGTTTGGAGAGAGAATATATTAGTACTGCCCTTTTGTAGATCAATTATATGTCAATTCTAATATATATTCTTTAGAAAATATCAATTACATTTTATATCATGTCTTCTTATTGAATTAGATATACAGTCACATAATTATTTTGTAACAGGACTCCATTAAAATTTCAAATAATATTTTAAATGTATGGTGCTAAAATTCTAATGTGTGATTATAGCATAAGTAAAAGTGAAATATATGACAAAATTGGCATTAGGCAGGAATTAGAAATATGCAGATGCTGCTGGACTTGNAAGTAGATTTGATTCTGAATCTATACAAAAAAGAAGGGCATACTACATTCTCAATGTGTGTGCAAGATCAATGTTGATATGCAAACAATGAGAGGAGAGAATAGTTCATACATGTTATCACACAGGGGATCATCGCTTTAGACAATGTTTTTAAAAAGGTACTTTCAGAGAAAACAATCATTATTTACATTTTTTTTTTTTTGAGATGCAGTCTCACTCTAGCGTCTAGGCTGGAGTGCAGTGGCATGATCTCAGCTCACTGCAATCTCCGCCTCCCAGGTTCAAGCAATTCTCCTACCTCAGCCTCCTGAGTAGCTAGGATTACAGGCACCGGCCACCACACCCGGCTTATTTCTGTATTTTTATTAGAGACGGGGTTTCACCATGTTAGTCAGACTGGTCTTGAACTCCTGACCTTGTGATCTGCCCGCCTCAGCCTCCTAAAGTGCTGGAATTACAGGTGTGAGCCACAGCGCTTGGGCAATTATTTAAAATTTTAATAGTTGTGTAATGATTATTTAAAATTCTGTTTGGTCAAAGAGAATACAGCAATTTAATCAAGGGTTACCTAGTCATTTTAAAGCAAAGAATTAAATTCAAAGTGCTTATTTTCTGTATTTAAAAGAGAAAAAAGTCAACCGACATGACATTTTAATGAGCATTTTATGAAAATATTTAATGGGATTGTCTTCTCAAGTTTCTCAAGTAATATGAACTCTTTTCAAATATAAGCATCAATTTTGTTAAATAATGTAAAATCTACTAGCAGTAATAACCCATTTGTATTGTTATTTACTACTCTTCCTCTTTGTGGTCCCTCCAGAACTTGAAGAATCTAGACAGAAATGCCCACCATGCTGGTATAGATTTGCCAATATGTTCTTGATCTGGGACTGCTGTGATGCATGGTTAAAAGTAAAACATCTTGTGAATTTAATAGTTATGGATCCATTTGTTGATCTTGCCATCACTATTTGCATTGTCTTAAATACCCTCTTTATGGCCATGGAACACTACCCCATGACTGAGCAGTTCAGTAGTGTGTTGACTGTAGGAAACCTGGTAAGTACATTTGAAGTTTACTTATTTACTTTGGCAGAGATGGGAAAGATAGACCAAAGAGAAAGATGTGTTTGTGCTGTGCTGAACCCCAAAATTATATCCTCTTTCCTCATAGAAAGAAATATCTAAGGAATATTACAGAGAATCTCAAAGACACAGCCTAAAACTCAACTGATGTGAATGCTGACTGTTTAGGCTAATGCCTGTGCTGATTGATCGTGGTGTCTTACCAGTCCAGTTGTAAACATCTCAAAATCTTTACAGTTGTTCTCGCTGGAAATGTAGGTCCAGATAAACCAGGAGGATATAATTCTGGCTCCACAAACATGTGGTTTTAACCCACACAGCCTCTAAAAATATCATGTCTATTGAAGAGATGACCCAAAGAGTGATGTATATGAAAAAAAGAACATTGTTTCAAATTAACTACCTAATAAAAAGCTTCAGTGACATTCATACAAGAAAACAAATGGTTAATTTGCATTTGTGATTTAGCCATACCTTTGGTTCAAATTACTGAGCATGCACCTGTGTCTGTGTTTGCTGATCGAAATAGGTGAATAAGTAAAAAATGGTTTACATATATTATTAATCTAGATCTTTCTCTCTGCTAACTCAAATAAACTTGGAGTAAGGGGTAGTAGGAAAACTGGAATGGGGGGAAAAGGTAGACTAACAAACTAAGTAAAGAGCAGTATTGCAGTCTGACTTCAGGAACAGTTTTCATTAAGGGCTTAGATATGGCCCTGGAGTTCACTGCATCATTTGTCTTTAGGTCAGCAAATGTTCAATAAGAGCTCACTGATTTTACATCTTACAACCTGTGCACTGGAAAAAGCCTCTCTTTTTGTGTCTCATTTCAAAGACTCTCCTTAGAGCACTCTGGCATAATTTGAGTCAGATTCTCACCTATAATTTAATCAGCCTTGACAGAGGGTGGAATCACACTGAAAAACATGGCAGTCCTGAGGAACCATGGGTGGAGGAGCAATTGCCAACAGAAGGGGGAAAGGAAATGCTGGGCAGACAATTGGGTAAATGTGTGTCCTAATACGTGACCTCAACTTCTCTGCATTATTCGACTCAGTAGAACACCCACCATATTCTTGAGATTTTCTTCATCTTTGGCAAAGGCCATGTCCCATTTTTATTTTGTTTCTCTCAGTGTTTACATGGTGGTTACTCAATAAATAACCAACTGGTTGATTCCTACACAAAGAGGCTGCTTCGGGTAGCATGATTTTGCAAAAGAACACAGGCTTTGCAGTTGAGTGGAACTGAGTTTGACCTTAGTTGTCAGTGCTTACTAGTGATATGGCCTATGGACAAGTCTGATAAACAATTTCAGTCTTTGTTTTCTATTATGGAGATGAGTGTAATAATGCCCTTCGCTTAGAATTGTTGTGAAGGTCACATGAGGTAATGTGAAAGCACCTAGACTGTGCCTGGCATCTAGCATGTGCTCAATAAACAGTTTCCTTCCTCATATATATGCTATTAACCTCTTAGACCTTTCTTTGAAATAATGATGGAAAATATTTCTGGTGTAGTTCTTGTATTTTTCCCAGGATATTGGACAGTCAGGAAAGTTAAACAGGTGAAGGAAGATTTTGGAAATTTGCCAGAGTGAAGCAGGAAATTAAGTTTTATAGAATTCCAATGTTGAAGCAGTGAAGTATGGAAGCACAGGATAAGAGAAGCTGGATTATAAGATGATTGAATGAAAAAGCACTAGACAAAAGCACCAAATCTAGGTCCTAGTCTAAGTGTTCATATTAAATATCTGTGTGGCTTTGAAAAGTCCCTTAGATTCTTGAGTCCATTTTTTCAACACACATATAAACAGTGAGTGTGTTGGACTAAATGACTTTTTATGTATGTCCCAGCTCTATAATGCTCAAATTATTGCATACTGCCTTATATTATACATGAGGACATTGAATTGTGGAATTTTCTGTCTTAACTTAGATCAATGTTCCCCATTTTGTATTCTGTTTCTGCAGTACATAAAAATTACATCACTTCCTTGATGATTAGATTAATCAAATTTGAGTATCAAGAGGCCATGAATCTCAATTAAGTTTCTCTATGGTGCTCTGTATTGTTTGGAGTATTTTCTTATTTTTTAACCATTATAACATGCATGCACCCATCTTAGTCATTGAATAAGCAAGAAATAGCCCATCAATCATAGTAGATTAGACATCTTCATCCTTACAAACATTTCCGACTTACCTACCAATGTTAAAACTAGACTAAAATGTACCAAAAATAATCCCATTGATTTGTAGGGCCTAAACTGAAAACATTTACAGAGATATAGCTGTCATTTTTGAATTGCAAGTTGTAATAAAAATATTATTTTTAATAAAAATTTCATGGTGGGATTACATTTTTAGATAAGCGTAACTTTAGGGTATATGTTTTTAAAAGTATGAGATCTAGTCATTTTAGAAGAGCTGAAAAGATCACCTTATGATTTTATATAAAAAGAAATATTCATAGATTATTTACCTGGATGGTTTTAGCTCACTTTAAATAATATATTTCCATCATCAGAGTGCCTGTTTCAAATAATAGCTGCCTCTAAAAGTTTTATACAAGAAATAAAATTTGTGTAGTTAGAACTTACTTTGCATTTACCAGGCAAACTCACTCTTTGAAAAAATAATTGTTGATGTGTTATTCTGTAAAATGAAAAGCATATTTTTCAATGGGCATTTCACCATATATCTGGATTTTCGTGTACTGGGCTTGCTTAAAGTACATTTTATTTCTATTTGAGTAAGCAGATGACTGACTACACAGTTAGGCTGTTTTTTTTTTTTTTTTTCTGTGGTGGGTATTTCCCTTTGATCTTTCTGTGGTTGGAAAAAATGAAATGTTAGCTGCATTGATATATTTGTAAGAGTGGATCAAGATTTATTTTAAGCAATATGCTGTTTTAGGAAACCAAATAATTGTTATACTGCTATTTTGACAGAATTCCTTTAAGATAAAGGCTGATTTATCTTGGTAAATGCTAATCTTGACTTTATAGCCATAAAATGCAGCTTGTAACTATAGCAAATTAAGAGAATTGCTTTAAAAGAGTTTCTGTGAGAGTAATTTTATAATTCTTCATGTCCTCTGTCTCTCAGCCTATCATTTTGAGTTAAAAAAAAAAGGTGTTTGTTTCATTGTTTTTCTTTCTACTGTCAAATACACATTTACCTAGCCACTCAAGTGATTTATTAATCTTAATTACATGTATATGCATATTGAGTATGTTTTCCCGCTGGTTTCAATTAAATCTGCAGTTTCTTACTCTACTAATCCATTAACCTTAATTCTGAGGCATGCATCCAGAGATCATTATTATAAACCATTTGTGGCAAACTCACTCTTGTTTCAGGAATGTTTATAAAATTATAGAAGTAAGATGGTGTCCCTTACAAAATACAAAATCAGAAACAAAATATGGTTTTTACCAAATTGATTTTAATAACTTTAAGTAATATGTGGATTTGTTCCTGATGTGATACTACCAAGAAATAAATTCAGTTGTATGTTAGAAATGTCGTATAGCAAAAAGGGCAATAATTCAGTAGCTATTATTCAATACCAGAATTAAAATGTAGACCACGAAGTGTTTCCCCTGGAGCTCCAGCAGATTCATTCAGTAATATCACTCTATTTAATAAAATGCTCTCCTAGAGCAAAAAAGGAAAAGCTAGATTTGGCTGGGTGTGGTGGCTCACACCTGTAATCCCAGCACTTTGGGAGGCTGAGGTGGGCAGATCACTTGAGGTCAGGAGTTCAAGACTGGCCTGGCCAATGTGATGTGAAACCCCATTTCTACTAAAATTACAAAAATTAGCTGGGAATGGTGGCCCACATCTGTAATCCCAGCTACTCAGGAAGCTGAGGCAGGAGAATTGCTTGAACCCGGGAGGCGGAGGTTGCAGTGAGCCAAGATCATGCCACTGCACTCCATCCTGGACAACAGAGGAAGAATATGTCAAAAAAAAAAAAAAAAAAGCTAGATATGAATTGATTTGACACATTCTCTCACTTTAAGTTTTAGATAATTTTATCCCTGTTAATGTTCTTTATAAATTTGTGTAGCATCAATGTTTTTCAGTGCTCTTGCAGTAGTGCTGATTTCTATTTTTTTAGGTCTTCACTGGAATCTTCACAGCAGAAATGGTTCTCAAGATCATTGCCATGGATCCTTATTACTATTTCCAAGAGGGCTGGAATATCTTTGATGGAATTATTGTCAGCCTCAGTTTAATGGAGCTTGGGCTGTCAAATGTGGAAGGATTGTCTGTACTGCGATCATTCAGACTGGTATCTGTTTATATATCCCTGTCACTCATTGGCACAACATTTATTTTGAAATTGAATCAATGTGTATTTATATAATTATTAATTTTAATTGTAAATTTACATCAATATGTGATATACTAAGAAAATATATAAACAACCTCTTTAAAGCTAAGTATAAACAGTTTTCTAAGAATGATGAAAGTGGTTGAAATATTTTATAATGATTTGGTATGTAGGGCACATTTAAAAACCTACATGCACTTTCTAAAACTATGTTTTAAGTTTATGAAGTTTTCTTGGACTTACAGTCTGTAAAAACATGCAAATAAAAATTTTAGGCCCCAATTTATCTTAGCTTTGTGTTAGCCCTAGTTCTATTAATGGGGACTGTTTTAAAGTAACATGTGAGAAAATATTTGATGTTACTAACATCTTAATTGTATAACAAACTTTGAATTATAGCAAAATTTTATTGAAAAATATGTAAAATTTTTATTGAAAATTAAGCAAAATGTGTATTTATTTCAAATTGAAGGGAAGCCTTTCTATACATTTTTATCACATTATTTAGTTTATTTTACTTTTATATTGGCCTATAAAAATATATGATTTATACTTTTAATATTTCTTTTTACTCTCTAAAATAGAACCTGAAGGTAACATTAGTTTGCTAAATTTAAAAATGTCTCTGATCAAGATACCAATTTGTTTACATGGCCATATATCTTGATGAATCAGAAATATTTTTTTATTTCTGAAATGTTTTATTATTTTTATTTTTGCATTTAAATGATAGTATAACCTAATTTACAATTCTATCATTGTTAACACTACTTTTTCTGGATTTGAAATTGAATTAGTTCAGTATATTTTGAGTGTTTACATCTACCACATGTGATTCTATAATACTACATAATAAAATACTGTCTAATGTCTAAAATTACATTATGATTACTACTAAGAGCATCTTTTCACTTGATTACAGCTTAGAGTTTTCAAGTTGGCAAAATCCTGGCCCACACTAAATATGCTAATTAAGATCATTGGCAATTCTGTGGGGGCTCTAGGAAACCTCACCTTGGTGTTGGCCATCATCGTCTTCATTTTTGCTGTGGTCGGCATGCAGCTCTTTGGTAAGAGCTACAAAGAATGTGTCTGCAAGATCAATGATGACTGTACACTCCCACGGTGGCACATGAATGACTTCTTCCACTCCTTCCTGATTGTGTTTCGCGTGCTCTGTGGAGAGTGGATAGAGACCATGTGGGACTGCATGGAGGTCGCTGGCCAAACCATGTGCCTTATTGTTTTCATGTTGGTCATGGTCATTGGAAACCTTGTGGTATGTATGTATTACAAATGTTCATAAATTAGAACAAGAACATACAATAGCTAGGAAGGTGGCCAGATGTGGTAAACATATCTCTGGTTTATAGTAAGTGGCCCAAGCTGAAATCCCCCTATTAGCACTCTGAGAATGAGCAAATTATTTAACTTCTCCTGGGCTCAGGTAACAAAACTGAAATCATATCATTGATCTAAAGATTAAATCAGGTGATTTTATGAATGCCTGGGAGGTATGAATATTAGAGGTTCCTTTCTTTCTTCTTCAAGGAAAATCAATTTTTATCACCAAGATGAATTGTATCCTAATATTGTTTTGGTAAGTTAATGACTTCTACCAAATCTAAAAAGACAACTATCTATTCTATATTTGAATTGTTCTTTGCATGTTTATAGTTTATGTAGTTTGCTTATTCAGAGACATAGGTTGCTTACTACCACATTTTGAAGACACATTTCAATGAAGTAGACCATCGTATTTTAGTTATGCATTGTAATTATCCAAGTAACTTGGAGGAGGACAAAATGTTTTCTTCCCTGAATTTGCATTACCAAAGGAAATCCAGTTACCACAGTTTAAATTATATGTATGGACATTGTCCAGACTCAAAGGACTTACTTTTAACTGTGACTTAAAATCACTAACGTAAAAGCATAGTTTATATATTTGTATGTTTAACGCTTACTTTCTCAATCATGTGTGGGCAAAGCATTTCTTTAGGCCATCATATTGGGCCTTTCCTTTGAAGGATACATTTCAAATACACTTGTTCAAAAGAATGCTACTGGGATACCTACAAACATGCAATTTTTTCTCCACAATAGTAAATTAGAGAGCTCTAGATTCTGAACAAACTATGATACAGAAATAAGGAAACAAACTGGGGCTTTTGCCTTGCATGTCTTCCTATAAACTGTTTCACATATCCCATGACATTCTGAGAGTTAAAATTGCCTCATACTTTCTACACACACTCTCTCTCTCTCTCTCTCTCTCTCTCTCTCTCTCTCTCACAAAGAAAGAAAAAGAAAACTAACTTATATTATGTGGGTCTAGCCTAAACCCTGGTATACTTTTAGATTTCTCTCCATCTGTTGAGCTATTTGAACACATAAATTTCAAAATGTATTTGATGGGAAATGTGTTAAATCTTATGCAATTTGCACTTAGAAATTTCTGCTGTTATAAAAGTTTGTGGCCATTGGGCCAAATGAATTTGTATTTCAAGTACATCATTTTGCACGTATCATCAGGCTATTAAATAAAGGAGCTTATTCATTATACACATGAAGCTAGAAATTCCCTAGGAAAAAATGGTAAGATGAAGTAAGATACAATGATTCAGATGAAAGTGTCTTTTTTTCTCTCTCATTGGCAAAAACCTTGAGGGTGGGGTTTTGTCTTTTCACTGCCAAGCCTGAGTAGACACCATTTAAATCTTAGAAGCTCTGCTTTCCTACTGTCCCTCCCAACAGGAAAGAAAAAAGAGGTGCTTATTTTGTCATTTTGCCCTTAGAGCAGGATATCAGGTCCTTTAAATAATGAGTGACTTAGACATGGCATCTGAAACATAGTAAACATTCAGTAAACATTTGTTGAAATAATTTTAGCAAGGGTCTATGAGATCCCTTTTTAGGATGTTATTTTAATATGTATTTCAATATTAATATAATTTTTTTCACTTTTTTTCTTTTAGGTTCTGAACCTCTTTCTGGCCTTATTGTTGAGTTCATTTAGCTCAGACAACCTTGCTGCTACTGATGATGACAATGAAATGAACAATCTGCAGATTGCAGTAGGAAGAATGCAAAAGGGAATTGATTATGTGAAAAATAAGATACGGGAGTGTTTCCGAAAAGCCTTTTTTAGAAAGCCAAAAGTCATAGAGATCCATGAAGGCAATAAGATAGACAGCTGCATGTCCAATAATACTGGAATTGAAATAAGCAAAGAGCTTAATTATCTTAGAGATGGAAATGGAACCACCAGTGGTGTAGGTACTGGAAGCAGTGTTGAAAAATATGTAATTGATGAAAATGACTACATGTCATTCATAAACAACCCCAGCCTCACTGTAACAGTACCAATTGCTGTTGGAGAGTCTGACTTTGAAAATTTGAATACTGAAGAGTTCAGCAGTGAGTCAGAACTAGAAGAAAGCAAAGAGGTAAGAATGCTTTTAAATTTTTTGTTGCAGTTCTTATAATAACCATATACTACAGTTATTTACTGTTTTCATTGTGCGTATATGCATTACTAAAAAGTAATATTGAAAGTCATATGTATATAGTGATGTTGGAAAATCACAAGATACTCTTTATTGGTAAATCTATTTATGGAAATTCCAACTTTTCACAGGAAATTACCATTCTGATTATTTAGTATATTCATTTTCTTGATCGTTAAAAAATGTGGTTTAAAAATGTGGCCTTTTAGGCCGGGCTTGGTGTCTCATGCCTGTAATCCCAGCACTTTGGGAGGCCAAGGAGGCTGATCTCTTGAAACCACGAGTTTAAGAGCAGCCTAGGCAACATGGAGAAATCTCCTTTCTACAAAAAACGCAAAACTTCACTGGGCATAGGGGCACATGGCTGTAGTCCCAGCTACAGAGGAGACTGAGGTGGGAGGACTGCTTGAGCCCAGGAGGTAGAGGCTGCAGTGAGCCATGATCACATCACTCTACTCAAGCCTGAGTGACAAAGCGAGACCCTGTCTCCTCTCCAGAAAAAAGTATCCTTCCAAAAAAGAGATGTTTTTAAATACATTACACTCTCAACTACATTATGTTCTTTTAAAAAATCAATGAACTTATTTCATTGATCTCCTTACTCTCTATATTAGGTTTTGCTATGATTTTTTATGTGTACTTTTGTTAACTTCTAAAAGTCTTATTCACAATGACAGAGTGTTTCATTTATGAAAGTGTTACACATATTAGAAAAGTGCAAGTCGGACTGATTATGTTTTGCCCAGTCAAGGATGAGCGAATCTATAGTCTTCCAGAGTAACTTGAAAATACTAAGAACTAATTTAAAAAGCTTCACTTGAAGGCTATAGCTAAACTATAGATTTAAAAACCTAGTCTTAATGTCATATTACTAGGAAAGAGGAAAAAAAAAAAGAAGGGGAAGGGAAGAGGAAGGAGAGGGAAGGAAGAAAGAAAGAAAGAAAAAGAAAGGAAAGAAAGAAAAGAAAAAGAAGGAAAGAACGAAAGAAAGAGAAGGAAAGGGAGAGTGAAGGAAGAAAAAATGAAAAGAAAGGAAGGAAGAAAGAAGAAAAGGAAGGAAGGAAGCGAGGGATGGAGGAAGGGAATTAAGGGAAAGAGGGAAAGAGGAAGGGAGGGAGGGAAGGAAGGAAAAAGAAAAGAAAGGAAGGAAGAAATAAGAAAGGAAGGGAGAGAGGGACGGAGGGAGGGAGATTGTTCCTACTACATGATAAGTATTCTTAAGTTTCTGTCATAGTAGTAATGGTATTAATTCTTCAATTCTGTGTTGTGGAAAAGAGGGTTAAAATTCTTTACATTATTTATTTATAGACATTTAATATATGAGTACAAAGTAAGTCCAGCACAGATGGAGTTATAAAAGACACCTTTTAACTTGAGGGTATAATGTTGACACCATGGGAACCAGACCAACAATGTCTGATTTTGTGAGCATATTTTGAAACTCTCTTTTTAAAATTAGTGTATCAACAGAATTTCATCTGAAATCCTTATAATGGGTAGCTGACAATCTTACAACTCATAGCTTCTGGACTTTTTTTCAGGTATTTTAGAGATGCTGAAAGACAGTATAATAGTAAATTTGGAAAATATTTTGAAAAAGGTAAAAATACATACAACATTAAGTAATGATATTCTTTTTCTGAATTCTATTCAAAGTCTCCTTAGTGAGTTCAATTCTAATTTGTGTTACTCATTCTGGCAAACTAAGAATTCAACTCTAATTTTATCCCCTATCGCCTGGCATGGATTTATATAAGAAGAAATACCAATCAATTAACACGCACTTACTGAGCACTTTTCTGTTAATTCGGCAATCTGCTGGATGCTAGGGTTAAGGAAGAATTAAAGGAGAGTTCTATAAATAAAACTCTCCTTCAAGGAAATCTCAACATATTTGAGTAAACTAACATGAACTCATGAAATCATTAAAGACCTACTAAAAAGTTTAATCCTGTTGAGTTGCATATAAGGCTATAGGTATTGAAGACAGCAAGAGTAATTGCTAAATGGAAGAGATAAAATTAAAATAGACCTCAAAGTTAGGGTCAAATATAGATTAATAGAAAGTAAAAGTGAGCCGAGATTGCGCCACTGCACTCCAACCTGGAGCCTGGCGACAGAGCGAGACTCTGTCTCAAAAAAAAAAAAAAAAAAAAAAATGAAGAAGAAGAAGAAAAAAGAAGAAGAAAGCAAAGTGCTGAAGCTTACTAAAGAAAAGCTGGAGCAGACAGTAAACTTGGCGTTAGAGAGAGTTCAGTGTTATCATTGCAGATTATCATGCAGTGGTAATCTACATGTAGTAAGTGTTGGTTGAAAATATAGTGGAAAATATGTTTAAATATGTGAGGTAGTTTCAGATTATAAAGTTTTAAAGTAAGCCCAAGAGTTTGGAGTCAATAGGGAGCTATTTTCTGTTCTGAAGCAGGGGACGTCAATTGGAAAGTGGTAATTTAAGAACATTTATTTGATATCAAAGAGTGAAAGAGTTTAGCCTGGAAGATAAGAAAGATTATCTTGGGGAATGTGGTGATAATTATTCAATAGCAATGAGGTTTTGAAATTCTCAGATAGGGTGATTAGTAATGAGAATTGAGACTAATTGGCAACTTGACAAACCTACTAAAGAATCTGGGAAAATGGAAAAACAGCAATGTCACTTTCTGAAATGGCCTTTTAAAAAGGGCCACCTGGTTTATGTTGGAAAAAGGAGTTCCATTGGGGTATATTAAATAAGAAGTGTCACTGTTGGAAAACGAAGTCTGGGTTAGGGGTCAGGGTTTAAAAATGAGGTACAATGTTTGATAATGCAGATGTTTTATAATTAGATGATTCCTTGAAAATAGAGGAACTCATCAAATAAGCAAGTATAAAGTGAAAAACAAAAGAAAACTAGAGACAAAGTAGCATAAAAAGCTTGGGGTCAGAAAGAGGTAGAAAGGCTAAAAGGTAGAGAAACTTTTTATGAATTAATACTACAGATTTTTTTCACATCAGATTTATGGAAAGCAAATCCTACCAAACAGTTGGTTTCCAAACTGTTTAAAAAATTTCATAACAACCACAGATATTTCAAATAACTGCTCATTATCATGTCTTTTTAGTGGCTTAAACATCATAAATTTTGAATAGTAAGATACAGATCTCTCCCTTGTTATCTAGTCTTGGAAAATATTTCTTACCTGAACAAAAATATCTTACGGGGTGATTTTCATAACTACTTTATCCTCTTTCAAGCTAAATTTTGAATACATAGAATTCAATCACAAAATGTAATGAAATTATTTAAAATACATAAATATGTTAGTGGGAAAATCATTAAATAAATATAAAAGTATGTATTTTTATAAAGCTGGAATAAAATTTTAAATTATGCACAGTAATATTAAATTCAACAATAAATTTTATGTTAATGATTTGGTAAAATGAATATTTAAAAAATGCACCAAAAAGTAATAGGGAAACTCTCATATATGCCCACACACAAAGATAAAAAGTAGACCGTTTTTAAAACAAAAAGCCAATATCAGCATATTATAATATTATAGAGCAGATTAGAGGAATTCTAGCAAAGCCTATTTTTGATTTGAAACTTCCAAAAGCTACTAGCATACTTCAGATGCACATTTATATTAGCTGAGTTATTCCTTTTTAATTGCTATGACACACATATGAACACATTTAAAATAACATATCCATAAAGTGACGTTTTGGTTCATGTTTCTTAGGTTTTTGACCACAAGTAGCAGGAGAACATTGAACTCTACTTTGCAGAACACAGAATATCCTTTCTCTTTGCTAATAAAATAAGCACTCATATAAGTTAAACCCACCAGAGTTATATATTTTTCACTAAAAATATTGCATGAAATGTTTGCTTGAAGAGGAGACAGTAAATTAATACTTAATTTAGATGATATTTGGAAACTCTAGTTACCGTATTTCTTTTGTTCATTTTTATAATAAAGGATACCTGACTACTGTAGCTAAAGAGATATGATCCCTAGAAGTTTTTAGAGATAAATATATGAATTGCTGTTATATAAGTTAAATATGTGTGTATATGTATTATATCTGTATATATGAATACCACTAACATAAATAGGTTGCTGATATGGAAGCAAATTTAAACTTTTGCATGAAAAAAAGGAAATTGAAGGCATGCATTTCAAAATAGTGATTTTTTTTTTAATCTTGCAAAAACTTGGAATTATATGAATCTTTTTTACAAGCTCTAATGTAGAATTTGTTTTTATATTTTTTAAGTTATCATTATCACGATTTCTTGAAATTTTTATATAACTATGGATTTTTACAATTTATTTCTTAAAAGATTATTGGTATGTCTTCCTAAGTGAAGAATATATAGAATAAATGCTTTTAACAATCATATTTGAAGTTGAATTCCAAACACAATCTAGCAATATCATACTGTGACCTTCACTGCTTACCATTCTTACTTCTCACAGGAGTAAAATCAAGCTGGAGCCATCAAGAATGCAGCTCTGGTGTTTTTTAACCAGCCAGAGGCTCGTGCCACCACTTTTACCCAGGTTACCCAAGCAAGTTGTACATGTACAATCACGTTCTAAATGAATTTTGACTGGCCTGCATGCTATTCAGCTATGTTCCTTCCCCTGCCATGGCAAGGAAGTGCTAGACTTGCCCAGCTGCTCTCTGCTGAATCGTGTGACACATCACAGCATGGTCAGGCGAGACGGGCAGTCCCAACATCATATTTAATTCTGCTAATGAGTTTTCTATTTTAGTCATTTAGCCTTTTAAAATTAATTGCATGCTCAATAAAATTTATATTATCTATTTTAACACATGATAGGAATGTTTATGGTTTAATATAGTCAGGGACTTAAGAGAGCATGCATTTTTTTGTTTCTCTGCTTTTATTTCATTAAAACAAGACCACATTTTTTTGTTGTTGATTC